ATTGTGCTTTCTATGACACATATACACACCACCTAAACAAAGAGAAAGAATGTCTTCTAAAATTCAGAATAATTTCATTCACATGCAAATTTATTCAAATAAGGTGAACAAATTCACATTCATAAAAAGGAATTTCAGGACCAAGCTGGAAGGAGAAAGCTTAAACCATTCAACTTAAACCATCCTGAAAACAAATCAGGGTCATGTGTGCTTGAAGAAGAATAGCTAAAACAATTATGCATTTTGCATGGCAGGAAAACCTTTAGTTGGACCCTAAGGTCTCCTTAATAGCTTGATAATCAAGTCATGTTTACAACATGTGTACAGCATGGTGCTGTCACAGAAAGAAGAGGCAGGCATTGGCTGACCAGCCCTGATCTTTATGAGGACAGGCAAAGGCCTTAACTGATGGTGTGCCAGAAGAGCTTACAAAGGAAGATGTAAGAACTGGAGAAGACAGCAAGCTCAGAGAAAGTTCTAGGACAGAAGGATTGGTGTAAGAGGCAGATGAAGAGAAAAGGAAAAGGAGAAGGGATGATTTGAAAAGGTGTGGAAAACGCAAAGAATGGGCAAAGATCAGAACTCTAGAGGTGACAAAGAGCGAATACCCTGTATTGATTAGAAAAAGAATAAAAAGGCAAAGGTTTCCCCTTGACATTAAGGTCATGTCGGACTCTGAGGGACGGTGCTCATCCCCATTTCCTAGCCGGGGGAGCCAGCGTTCGTCTGCAGTTTCCATGGTCATGTGGCCAGCATGACTAAACACTGAGGTGCACAGAACGCTGTTACCTTCCCACAGAAGTGGTACCTTTTTAACTACTTGCAGTTCTGTGCTTTCAAACTGTAAGGTTGGCAGGAGCTGGGACGAAGCACAGGAGCTCACCCTGTGCGGATTCGAACTGTCGACCTTTCAAACAACCAGCTCAACAGTTTAACCCACTGCGCCATTGCATCTCCTAGAAAAAGAATAGCCAAATCTTTATTTGAGGGCTCCACTTTCCCATGTGTTTTGGTAGAAAAGAATGGTGAAAGCCATGTGGTTAACAGTTATCCAAAGTGCTTCTGGGCACTTTAGTGTGAACTGGGGCTTGCTTCTCAATAATCATGCCGACTCCCTGCTTGTGGATGGTATCCAAGGCAGGAGAAATCCACATGCTCTTCAGTGTGACTGCCTGAGGCAGGCAACTGGGGGGTGTTTCTCATGTCTGCTTTGATATGTGTCACTTGTTCTTCCTCAGCTTGTGACCCTCTCTGGCCTTGATATCATAGGCTGACCTTAGCAGCATTCACTTACAAGGGAGCCTGTATCAAAGCAGGGATTCAGATAAGAGGATTTTCAGCTGCCTATTTCTACAGTGCTAAGGGTGACTGACCTTACAGCATTTGCAAGTTTCACATCAGAAGTTGCATGGTAATCACTGCTATCCTATGGTAGAAAGATCAGGCTGAGTTGCTGCTATCAACTGTCAGGGTACAGGGTTAGATTTCCCACTCCAAAAGTAACTCTGCAAACCAAAATGGAGGCTAAGGTGGCAGTTGCCAGTTCCTATTTATGTCAATTGATGAGAGCAGTTTCAGAGACCAGATTTTCTTGGAAAAAGATTTTTTTTAACTAACTCTTTAACAATAAACTCATAGTTAGTATCACGTTCTTTCTCCCCTTGGCAGTCCCAGATTTGGACTCGAGCAATCTAGAAATGCATGGAATTATATGGGGGTATTTAGATATGACACCAAAATTTGGACCTAAACTGATTAAATCTGTTTCCCAATGTTGTTGTTGAAATCAGATGCAAGAAATTGGATTTTCCTCTGCAATTGCAGTACTCAGTAATAACATGACTTATACTGTACTTGTCTCAGTTCGGTATGAACCATAGTCTTTTGAACTAATGACTTGGTTCCCAACCCAGTAATGGAGAGTTATGTTTGCACATATATGCTGTTTACTAGATTTGGCACTTCAAGCATAAACTGAACACACATGCATATACAAGAATGAATGTAGACCATCTGTACTGTAGTACTTTGAATTCAATGCACATTAAAATATGGATTTGAATGCACATCTCTGTGTATCTTATCATGCTACTAAGAGGTGTGCTATTGATACAATTAGATGCATTTTAAATTTAATTTGCCACACATTCAAGATGCTTCTTTTCTGAATCACAGGCTATTTTTATTTTTAAAAAATCAAACAAAAAACCTGACATAACTCTTGGTGCATATGGTGTTGAGCATAAAATCTTCACTATACGGAAAGAAAATCAGACATGTGGAAGCTTTGCATATTTGCATCCTTACCTCTTATAATAAATTAGACACTGTGATGAAGTGTGTGCACCAAAAATAGGGGTGAACCTTCATACATGATCCTGAACAAGCTGGTTCTGGGATTATGAAATGCCTAAATCTAATTGAAAATAAATTGGCAGTTTTGTACACTTTAACCTTATTTCATCAGTTTGCTCAGGAGCAACTCCCACTATGTTTTCAGTAGTGATTACTCCCTTCGTGTGATCAGTGTGCAGCCTAATCGAACAAGTACAATTGGGCCATACTTCGTCCTGGCTTGGCTGGAACCCCTTCGCTTCCACTGCAAACTCAGTCCACACTCTTAAGTGCTCCAAAGTGGTCTACTGTGTTCAATGAATCACTTTTGGCAAAGCATACAGCTTCTGTCAACACAAAGGACTTCTTGCTAAGACAGCATATGAAGAAAACACAAGTATGGATTCACCTCAACAAGTTCATCTTGACTAGTTCGGCGATCTGCAAAAATTCTGAAACTCTTCTTTGAGTAATTGTAAGAGCAGAGAACACCACTAATTTTAAATCAGTTTGATAGAGGGGTGGGCTATACTGTGACCTAACTCCATTGGTCTATGTAAATGCAGTCATTCAAGGCAACGGAAGAAGAAATGGCTGTGTACTAGGTCAGACCATTGGTCCACTTAAATCAACCTTGTTCTTGCTGAAGGGAAGCAGCTCAACAGTCTTCAAACAGGAGCTTTCCCAAACTTGGCCTGGAGATGCCAGGGATTAGATCTGGGACCTTTAGCATGTGCTCCGTGACTGATCTAGAGCCATCCCTCTACATTAAGACACAGAAGTAAGATGCATGTTACTGACTTGGCCTATCAGTACTAGAACATTTGTAGCTATCTGATCGAAAGAGCACTGTTGACTTGAGCACAATGCATTGAGAAGACAGGCTTGTGGAACTTTCAATAAACTTTTGCCCGGGCGCAAAGCACCAGCATTCCATTCTTCATGCGTAAGTCCGAATGCTGAGCAGTGTGCACATACATCCCTTTGCTCCATTGACCTGCATGCATATGATCCCTGACAGATCCTTTGCAGAGAAAATAATATTTCCCATTAAACATCTCCCATCAGAAGTCTTCAGGGCTTCTATGATGCTGGTATCTTTGAAATAAAGAACCACAATTTCAAAGTCCAAATTAAAAGATGTGAGGCAGTATCCTACACTACCCAAGTGGTAGCAGAACTCAATGCTAGCAGTGTGTAGCTAGGAGTTACAGTGAGTGTCTGGAAAGTGCAGCAGGCTCTGCTGACCTCTATTCAGAAATGAGGTTTTTCACTTTTATCTGAGATTGATTTCAGAAGCACTAGTTCCTGTTGCATTAGCTATAACTCCTGTGTTTAGTACTAACACATTATTAAAGTGCTCTAATAGTTTATTATTCTCCTAAAGATGTGGTCCTAAGAACATAAACACCAGTTTTATGTTGCATCAGTCTGAATAGCTCAATATTGTTAATACTGATTGGCAGTTCTTTATGATTACAGGCAGAATTTTTTCCAGCTCAAACTGGAGGTGTTAGGGATTGAATCTGGGATATTCTGCATAGAAAGAATAACCCGTTAATGAGCTTGCGTTTAATGTGCAGTGAAACATCTCAGACAGAAAGTGCATTTAAAACAAACCAATCCAGAATATTGTTTTGACATTAAATATTACTGTGCTCTGCCTGCCACATATTAAGCTAAGAACAAAGGTTTAGTTTACCTAAGCCAATTTTGACTGCCATTAAAAACCATGAAACTTAAAAACTGATGATGACTAACCTGCTCCATTGGTTTCAGCCATCTTTCACATGTAAGTTGAACTGTATGGGACTCATTTTGCCCTTGAATTTAATTTATGAGAGCACATGGATAGGGCCAGCTACATGAGAGTTTTCAACATGATTGGCACCCACATTTCTCTCCGACTCCTAGTTAGGTGGGAAGGACTGACACAACGGTCTATGTTCATACAGTTGAAATACATATACTTTCTAGCATAGGGAAATGGCTTCCATGGGCTGGACCTTAGGCATGACTCACTTTATCTGAGTCAGGGCCTAAAGGAGAAATGCCATGGCCACAAGAAAGAGTCGAGATGGTCATAGGAAAGGTCAGAGTCCCAGCTGAGAACACAGTCAGAGGTTGGAGATGGGCCCCTCATCCTTGCAACCAGCATGGAAAGAAAGGCACCAACTGCAACTCTAAGGTCAGAAGAGAGAGGCATATGCAGTGTCATGGTCATGTTTCAGCCTGCTTTCCTTATGACCTGGGTCAAAAGATTTTATGGCTTTTGCTGAGTGGGAGAAACATGGAAGTCACCTTCACCCCTATGCAACTTCTTCCTGCAATGGTGAAGATCAGAGGGTTATGGACAGTCACACTGATTTGTGCTTCCTATCAGTAATATAGCATGGCTACAGGATTTTGACATTTTACCAGCTGTCTGTGTCAGTAGGTAGAATCCAGAAAAAGGTTGGTGACACTAAATCTCAGTGCAATTAACTGAACTGATTTCAACAGGAGTGTACTATCTGCCCCTGTTCTGTGGCCCCAGATCTCCTAAAATATAGAAAATAAGATCCTTACAGTCAGAGTGTTTTGAATCATTGTGCGATGAAAAGAAAGTTATTGGTAAACAATGGATAGCTGAAAATGTGAACATAAATGTGAACATTTATGAAAGCTCTTTTTAAAAAACCATATATTTTATTAAACATTTTTTTCAGAAGCAGAATCACATTTTTCCAGTATGGAATACACATGACTTAACATGTGTACTTCTACTATAGCTGCATATCAAGCTAGATATAAAGTGTGTAAGAACTTTATTGTGGTTATTAACTGCACTATATGAAGCTAAGAATGCAGTAACTCTGTTGAACTAGATAAGGGAAAATGAAAAACATGTTTAACACCAATGTTTTAAGAAAAAATAAAACAAGTTTGAGATCAGAATCAAGTGTGATTACCTGCAAACCAGTAAGACAAAAGACTTAGGTACATGGCAAATACTGTCAGACTGTATGAGCAAAGATCATAGAACTTAGGATTATCTAAAATTAAAATTAAGTCTTCGACACACAATCCAGGTAATGTCCCCTGCACAAACTTAATGGAGCACAGTAAGTATTGCACAAGAAGACAACTGTACCCATTTCAAGATGGGCACTGCAAGCAAACTCCCAGGTGGATTATTGCCTATCAACATAAAGTCTAGATTTACAACCTAAAAAAATTAAAATGTCAGAAATTTTGGGTCCACCTTTAATGGAGAAAAGCAGGATATAAGTGATTAAAGCATGAACAGTTTCTCCATATATGCTGGTTTAAAAGGACAGTGTTAAATCCGAGATTGTACTAATGGAAGTGTGATGAGACACTTTTCCTCCACACCCCCTACAGTTCTCCACATTTCCCTCACATCTGCTCTGGAGGGGCTCCAGAAAGAGTTTGGAGGCTTCCAAGGTGATTGGGGGTTCAGCCCCTTCCTGGTTCTGCTGATAGAAGTGTTTCCATCAGCACAATGACAGTGTTGGAACCAGTTCAGAGTCTCTACTTAGAAATCATGATATTCCAAATAACTTATTGATTCAGAAATAAATTGTACTTCCCTCTCTGCCCCATGCAAGTGGATGATGGTTATTTGATTGCCAAAGGTAATTTAAGTATCACTGAAAATAAATCTTTGGAACAACAGGATGAGGGTGAAGACCATTAGTCCATGTTTAACAATCCAGTGTGTACTAAGGTTCTTATTCATCTTTATTCAGGAGAGCACAGGCAAAGCATTTGTATACTACTTTACAATTTATCACTTAACATTACTGAATTGAAGCATTGCTGTCTGAATGGTTGCCTGAAAGATTTAGAAGCAAAGCAGTTGGGAAAAAATACAGTGTGGATACTCTGCAAACAATTATGTTAGAGCATATTTGAGATTTGGGCACAACTGAGAAGCATAAACTACTCATTGCCATAGTTTGCAGCTGCCTTCTTAATGAAATGTCTTATGTTTTGGTATTTGCAGATGCTGCTTTGTACAAAGAAAAAAATGTCCAAGTATGACAGATTATTTTAAGAGTCTGCAATTTAGCAACCCCCCACAAAACAGAAAACAAAGAGCATCTTTTAGTGCATCTTTTTTGTACTGTGTGCTGCAAGTATAGCTCACGGTAGAAAAAGGAGCAAGTAACAATTATTTCCTGTGGTAATCATCTGATATGCTCTGGACAGAGCCCAAAGCATAACAGAAGAGAGTCTAGCTGTGTGTGGCATTCTGCCTCTGCTGTATCCTTGATGAGAAAAAAGTACCCAGTACAGGGATCAATGCCTTTCTGCATCAGTAGAGCATTTCTCTTCTTACTGGAAAGGAAATAGCTGTGCAGGGTTTCTGGGTGTGCGCGCACACACGTGTGCACACATATGTTCATCAGATTGCAGCATTTTAAAAGCAACCACCAACTTATAGAGGGAAAATGATTCATGCCTCACAAAAATCCTATCAACGCTACACTCATTAGATAGCAATGGTATGAGTATATGGATAGCTGCTTTGAGATTCACACTGTTCCTTCTACAACACTGCGGTTGTTAGAAAATAAAACAGTGAGATCTGAAATAGATACCCACTGACTTGGAAAGACTGCATGAGGAATCTTGAAAACAAATGGAAGTTAACTACAGTAGCCTTTAATAGAGGTAGCATTATTAAAAATTAGTTGTAGAACAGAGTGCAGCAGAGAGGCATAAATACATAATAATACAAGGCAACCCCAACAATCAGTATCTTTCCCACATTTTGATCCTTCTGAAAATAAGAAATACTCTCTTGCCACGCTGAAAGCATGTGGCAAGTCTTCTTCTTTTTGATCAACCCAATTCCCTAGTCATTTCCTTCAGCATAAAACTTATATTTGCATTAACTGAAGTGGAACACTCTTGCTTTATTCTAATGCTACATTCCAAGCGTAGATTCAATTGGCATTCCCTCCCTCCCAGGCCCCAATGAATGCCTGAAAAAAGTCACTAAGATGGTCATGATACTGAAAGAGTTAAATTTTCAATGGAAGGACTGATTAAGAAAACTTCATTCAGAAAACAGGCTGTTTCAAATGTAGTCACCGCACACTTGATTACATCAGACAATACTGCTATGTAATATATCCTCATCCCGCAGTGCCCCCAAATCTACAGTGAGGAGTTTGTATGCGGAATGATTATGGTACACATGCACGTGGGCTCCCCTCACTCCCAGAAATTGTTGCATATGAAGCTCTGGACACCACCTAGAGACCTGGAAATGCAGTATAAAGCACATGTCCTTCGCTGCATTCATCTCTAGTCTTTCTGTACATAGGCGTTCAAATTCATGTTCTCTCTTTACTCTTCCTTCTGTGGGTGGTGAGCATGCCTGTAAGATCTCCCCCTCTTCTCAATATTTGTACAGAGGGAAGGTAATAATTTAAATGTGAAATTTTTAAAAATAAGATTGGCTGAAACTTAAAACATTAAGGTAGGGGTATCTTTTTAAATGGTAGATATGCATTTTTTAAAAATGGTAGATGGATAGCTCTCATTTGTGTTCCCTTTGTTGCAGCAAAATGAACACTTGTGGATTTGCAAAAGAATATATGGAGCCAGCAACTATCAAGTGACAAGCAGCTACATTATTGCTACTGATGCTATTTAGGAAAATAGTGACATACACTGCTAAGTAGAAAGGTAGAACTTGGAGATTAGTACCTCCTGCCGCCTCTCCCACATCCACAACATTTTAAGTCAGTTCTGAAAGCCATGGACTGAGTTGAAAGCTGTACAGTGAAACAGAGAAAAAACTCCTTTGCTCATAACTTTGGGATATTGTATTAGTAAAAAAGCACACTATATCTTCTTAAATAAATATATCCTATTTCTGGAATTACAGTACAATCCAGGGAAAAATACTGTCATAAGCACAACAGCATGATATAAGCTCCACAAGATTTTACATCAGTTTTGGTCTTGTATCTGGAAAAACACCCTAACAGGAGAATCAAATTCAAATGTACATGTTAAATACTTGCAGAAATCCCCTCCCACCCTTCCCTCTAATACAGTACTAACACAATTACAGGAAAATGACATTACAGTATCCTTCTCCCAGCTGATTCTATGCTTGCAGTATCAGCTAATATGTGTATACCTCAAAACTATATGAAATATCAAAGATCACTAAATAAATAAACAAAAAGAAAATGGGACAGTGCTAGATTTTACACTTGAAAAACATATCCTCACTTTCATTAAGAAACCATCGAGGAAAGTATGAATAATTTGTTTATCATGTTTAAATTTGTGTAAAAAAGAAAGACGTACACAGGTTCAAATCTAGAGAATATTGTAAAATGTATAAATACCAATAGCTTTTGCTAAGTTAGAATGGGTTTGGTAAACTATAATACAACAATATTAGAATAAACACCAAAGCAGTGAACATAGTATTTTGGTTTGTTTGAAATAATTAAGGTGCAACATTTCTGTCTCTAAATGAATTCATAGATATAAGGTGATAGATGACATTGCTGGTATACGAAAATACATACCACAGAAATCCAATTTTTTAAATAATGGAAATTAAAAAATAAGCAATTAAACAGTACATTGTTGGATTGGTTTTTTTCTATTATGCTAACAAATCTTTCTACGTGAAATTAGGGATACCCATTCTAACAAATTCAGCAAATCTCTCTACTGAGACATCATTTAGAGAACCAAGGAAAAGAAAGGGAGAAAGAAAGGGAGAAAGAAAGAAAGAAAGAAAGAAAGAAAGAAAGAAAGAAAGAAAGATCGAGCGAGCCATGGAGCACAATTCATCTGGAGATTCTCCTGCAGAAATCACCTAAAATGAATGTGAGCTGTGTAAAAATCACAGTACTGCAAATTCCAGTGAGGCTTGTGCAGGAGCACTTCAAATGGATTATGCTCCTAATGATCTATAAAGCTTTGCAGGATTTCTGCTACTCTCAGTGCCTAATCGCTTAAAAATTAAGCATATCTACAGAAAGGTTTATAAGCATCAGAAAACACTCATATTCAGTAAATTGACCCAGTCCATTCCCTTGTCTAAGGGATAGTCAACAAGGTTTAGGAAAGAAAGATAATCAAGGTATTAATTGACATAGAAAAAAGCTAATTTTATGCATCTTTTATAAAGGTACCATTCATATAAAGAAATATTTTAGGAACAATATTGAAATTTGAAATGGCAGAAGAATGTGGTACTCCAGCAAAACAGCATCTATTCTAATGGGTTCAATAGAATTTGTATGTTAGTACCACTGTCAAGATGAAGAGGCTGCACCATAAGATATTTGGATTTCAGCTACTTATGATTTTGAACCATAGCTAGTACATAGCCTTACACTCCCCAAGCTACCACAGTAGATGCCCGACAATATGGCATGTTGGCAGCATTTAGTTTTGTTAAAATAATTTAGAAAATGTTAACAAAATTGAACTATTAAAATAGCATCACATGCTCTAGTGGCATGTGGAAGAGTCTTCTACCTGAATTTTCTAAACAGCATTTTAACTTTCCAGTTGAAGTTGTGTTTTTCCTTCTTCCACTTATTCAACATTTGTAACTTTCATTTATATCTTTAAGGGAGTCTCTGATTTTTATATGGGATGAAGTGACACTTTCCTTTTATTTACCGTCAATTATTACAATGCGTGTGATCTGGGTGAAGTTGTTTCTGACACAGACACTGAAAGACATGTTTTGATTACAACAATTAAAGGCTAAGCCAAGCAAGTTTTAAGAGTCACTTTTCATATGGCTATTAAATCCAATTACCAAAACAAAACAAAAGCAAAAAGCAAAAACAACCCCCCAAAACACAATCCTTTTATCAATTCTGTCAAGTATAAATTAATAATGCCTGATAAAGTTGTGTAAACTCTCATATACAGAGACCTAGTCAGTAAAAAAGGGGTCTCACTGAACTGAACACTATCACAAAATTCCACCAGAGACAAGACTACTCATAGAAAATTATTGCTGGGGTCTGGTCAATAGCATTTGGTTAAGTCTTTGTGCTATGATGCAAAATATGTAGGGAAACATCTTGTGCTGTGGAAGAAGTACCCTGTATTGACTGTGTAGCTTCATGTCAAATTCTAGTAAGAATTAATCTTTTGCCGATAGGAACAACGTTGCCCCGATCCAGCCAGGGGCTACATGGTTGTGAGGCTACATGGTTGTGCCTCCCTAGCCAGAGGAGGAAGCATTTGCACAAACACATGTTGTGTGCGCAGTTCCACTCCCTGATCCAACAGCTGTGGCTACGTGCCTGAAGCATTTCCCCAAAAGCTAAATTCCTGCTGAACAGCTGCTCATGATCAAGCAGCAGATCAAAGGCTTCTTAACTTTTTGGAGGGGCTGGTGCATATGCAGCCCATGACTGCTCCATGCATGCTTTGATGGATGATAGCCTATCGGCATAAGGACATGGTGAAGAAGCAGGTTAATGTTAAAAAGCTGGACTCTGCTCTGGCATGAGATGTGTGCATGGGAGTAAGAAACAATACAGAAGAAAGACAAAGAAAATGAACTGGAAAATGGTTTGACAGCCTAAATTCTGCAACATTACTTCTCAGCCATCACTTACTTAGGCAACCCTCAGCACTCTTCCAGCCCAACCTAGCACTGGCACTTCATACAACAGATGAAGCCAATTTAGACTGTGCATAGCATTTATGACAATTCCAGTGTCTGTAAAATGTAAAATATGTACATCAGTGTGCATGTCAATTGAAAACTTTTTTTGAAAGTGTGAAGTAATACTAAGGTCACTTCTGAACAACATATTAATAGTATTTTCTCCCCGTTTTACTGCTTTAGTTTCCACATAGGCATTTTAGACTTCTATCCAAAAATAAATGAACTTCCAAGGTTTGAAAGACAAATCAGTTATCTGTAGTATTGTTCTTCTCAATATGCCAGATCTTTGCTTTAAATGCAAATCATTCTCATTATTCTACCTTTAATATTTTTTTTAAAAAACCAAGCAAAATAAAGCCTGTCAACATATTTTGCCAATAAACTCTACCACCCTGGTGGCAAATACAAAAAAGTGCAGAACGTCTGGGCCAAAAGGCCACACACACCACTAACAATGGTACACCTGCCCATGCTTTCTTGGATTCTCCAAACGAGTTCTTAAATTCACTCTAAAATATAAATGTAGGCATAACCTATTATATAAACCATCTTAGAACTTAAATCTTCATGTACAAAAAAGACTAAGAATATCTAGTAACTAGTGCAGTGCGTCAGTATCTTTCCCCCAACTCCTCTTCTGTATTTTTGTTTAGAGTAGCTAGTTATTATACGAAACTACTTTCCATACTCTGGTTGACAGAGCAGATGCTGTGTGAGCTACAGTAAAGTCTGGCTCTTCCATGTAACTATGCATTTACCACTTTAAAAACCTTCAACAGAAAGCAAAGCTCCAGGATCTTTTCATTTCTGTTCCTTAACAGAGAAATAACATCACCCTTATAGTAGATTCTGGGCCCCAAACTGGAGAGGACCTTGCCCAAACTATAAGTGAAATCTGTGCCACAATGAACACGAACCACTCATTTTCAGTCTATGGGTTCCTCCATCACATGGACTGACTAGCATCCATTGGTAAAGACAAGGCTAGGATATTAGGTAAAGCACAAAGTTTTACAATAGGGTAGAGCGTCACTGGTCAGCGCAGGAAATAAGCACTGGAGCCTGAGACATTTCTTTTGGCTGTCCATCACATGGGAGAGGCGCTGTCCTCTGATTCCTGCAATGGAATAAGAGAAAGAATGTTAGCTCTGAATTAATTTCAGAACAATTATGACTGTGGATCTATGTACAGGGCTTAATTACAGTAGAGAATTATGGTGATGGTGAAAATGGTAACAATAAAACAGCAAAGAAACACATCTCCATCACAAAACAACTCATATTAAAGTATAATACAGCATGTCAGATTTAAAATATCATTAAGCTCAGAGTGGCCACACTGTAATGCATAACAGATGATGAAGAATTCATTGACAGAACACAAGGTGTGCTGTAAATTAACTATGAGTTTTGTTCAGAAACAAGAGCAGGAACAGTCAAAAGGAAGAACCACCTGCATGGATGACAGTGACATTTAGAAGGAATAGACTCAAAGGCACTAGGCACCACAGGAGCTATGAAATGGCTCTTGAAGAAGGGAGTGACTCTGTGCCTTGAAGAATTTATAGCAAATGTGCTGTAGATTCTTCAGCAAGACTGGAAGCAAAAAGCTGGAGCCTTCCATAACAGAGGAAATGAAACTGTTCCTGGCAGCAAAAGGAACAGAAGGGTGGTCATGGTTGGTGACTTCCTACGGCAAAAATATAATGGGGAGTACACTGACCAGACCTGTTGGCTCAACAAGTATGTTGCTTTCCAGGTGTACAAATTAGGTATGTGCTAGAACAGCTGCTGACCCTCATCAAGTTCACCAATAGTTGTCTCCTGTTCATCCTTGTGGGAGCAAATGATACTACAAAGCACAGCTATGGTTGCATCACACTAGTCTACAATGCTTGAAACTTAAGTGTCTTTTCATTCCTACTTTCAGTCCATGGAAGAGAATGAAAAAGGGAAAGAAGACCACGGGTTAATAAACTGCTTATGAAGACAGTATCACTGGGAGACACTGGGCTTACACTATTTGGATGAAGCACTGGTGGCATGGTATGGATTGCACCTCATGAAGATTGGGAAGAATGTACTTGTCCAAAGAATGACATGTTTAATCAGGAAAGCTTTAAACTAAATGGTTGGAGCAGAAACGCAGAGATGAGGGTTCACACACTGTTTTGGGAAATAGGAGAGCAGCTGCAGCAGAACCTGTTAAACCTCTTAACAAAAATGCACTGGGGTCACTGGAGCATAAAGTTCATGACTTTCATATCTTTATATTAGTAGACAGTGTATGGAAATAAACAGGACAAGCTTGCTTGATTCAAGAAAGTAAATATGAACTAATAGTATACACGTAATAGTGGAATCCCTCCCACAAATGCAATCAAGCAATTGAAAGATATAAATTGTTCTAAAAGCACAGAAATCATAGAAAGTGGAGAGCAGTTATGAATATGCATAACTACATAGTTCAACTGAATGAGCATGTGGCCCAGCTAAAAGCATCTGAACTAAAATAAATAGAAGACTAAAAACATTAGTGTAGTTGGAATCTACCACCAACTACCCAAACCCAACCAAGAAGATGTGGATGATGCTTTATAAAAGCAAACTTTGCAGCCATTTCAAGGAAGCAAGAAGTAATAATAGCAATTAAGGAATTAAATTAACTTGTTGGGAACAAACTCTGCCATGCATGCTCTCTCCAGGAAATTCCTGATTTGCCTTGCTGACAACATTTTTCTTCAGGGGGCACAGGAACAAAGAGATCAGCTGTCCTTGATTTAATTCTGACCAATATGGAAGAGTTAGTCAATGTGAAAGCAGCTGGTACTTTGTGGGAATGTGCCCATGCAATGTTTGAACTTGATTTGAAGGAAAACTACAGGAAAACTTATTAAACTCAGAACTATGGTAAGTAGGATTCCATAATAAGAAACTCAAGGAGAAAGAGAAAATCAGAAGGAATAGTTCCTTAAATAGGAGATACCCATAATTAAAAGCAATTTCAATGAAGAGGAAAAAAAAGAAGACAATGGAAGAAGGCAGTGTGCTCACACAAAAAGCTTAGTGATGTTCTGTAAATCAAGAGGAGATATATTCAGTGAATAAGGAAGGACAGGTCATGAAAGAGTGGCATAGGCAAATAGCCCAGCATTGCTCAGAATGGGCTTAGAATCATGAAGGATGCTAAGAATAACAAAAGGGGAATTCTTCAGATATACTAAAAATTTAAAAAAAGACAAAAGTAATGGTACATCAGTTGCTTAGTGAAGATGATAAAATGCTGATTGGTGATGAAGAAATAGAGGAACCTGCTTTAGCCTTGTTTTAGATCAAAAAAGGATCTGTACCCTATTTAGCATATGTGTCAATCAACCTAAAGGTGTGGGAATTCAACTTGAGGTTAACAGAGAGATGGTCAGGGAATATCAAGGCACCTTAAATGAGATCAAGTCCCCAGACCAGATGAATAGCCTCCTAGGATACTGAAGGAGTCAGAAGATGGATGTTCAGAACCTCTATTTATTACCTTTGAGAAATCCAGGAGAATGGGTGAGGTATGGAGTGTGAAAGGATGACAAATGTGCTTTCCATTTCCAAAAAGTAAAATCTGGAGAATGACAGACCAATCAGTCTGACATCAATACATGACAAAATTCTAGAGCAGATTATAAAACACTCAGTCCATTAGGCACCTTGGTACTCATACAGTTATCCCTTGGAAGTCAGCATGGATTTTTCAAGAACTGTCACAATAATCTTACTTCATTCTTTGACTGGGTAGCTGACCATGGAAACACTGTTGACATGATCTAGCTGGACTTCAGCAAACATTCAACCAAGTTTCCCATAATATGGTGAAGAGAGTTAAATATGGGCTGGGTGGCTGTACTATTAAGCAGAGCCACAGCTGCACTTAAAAGTGTTTGTCAATGGCTCCTCATCAAACCAGATGAAGACAGATGACAGGTACATGATTTAACACTGGATGGGATAGCAAATACCACAGACAACATGAAACAACATTAAAATGAACTTGACTGGTAAGAAAACTTGACAGAAAAATAACAAAATGAAATTTAACACAGACAAGTGAAATTCTTCATTTTGAAAAAAGAAACCAAATGTACAACTGTAAGATTGGATATTCCTGGATTGGCAATGGTATATGTGAAAGGACATCAGAGCCATAGTTGATCAGCAACTGAGTATGAATGTGATGTCGCTGACAAAATGGGATATGCAATTTTAGGTTATGCCAATAGAACAATGGTTTAAAAATCATACAAAGCAGTAATTCCATTTTACTCTGCACAGGTCAGCTGTCATCTTGAATAGTGTATTCAATTCTGAACACCACACATTAAGAGGGATGCAGATAAATTGCAATAAGTTCAGGAAAGGGAAACAAAGATGATCAGGGAAACAAATTAAATCCTCTGGGGAAAGACCGAAGGAATGGTTTTCTTTAACCTTGAGAAGATAAGCATGAGATAATGGCATTTTTAGTACCTAAAAGGTTGCCATACAGAAGAAGGCTATGACCTTATTTATTTATTTATTTGGAATATTTCTAGCCCACCCATTTATTTACTTTGGCAGAAGAAGGCTAGGAATTTATTTATTTATTTATTTGGGATATTTCTAGCCCATCCAATCACTTTTCGTCTCAGAACGGCTCACAACAGATAGACCTTCTGACTATCTTGCAGGGCAGCAAGACACAAGATGACTAGTTGAAATGATAAGAAGGCAGACTTTGGTCGCACATCAAGGATAACATCCTAATGGTCAGAGCAATAAGGAAATGGAACCAACTGCTTTAAACTGAGTTCCAGCACTGAGCAGGGGGTTTGACTGGATGACCTAAATAGCCACTTCCAGCTTTCTGCTTCTAGAAAATCAATGGGTAGAGCCAACAACTCCAGCTGATTTCAGTGAAACTGTGCTATCTGCTCTATGTCATACATGCTCTAAAACCTGCTATGAGCTGCTCATACGATGAAAATTTTTGCAAGGTCAGTACTACTGTGCAGAAGACTCTGGATCTAGTGGGTCAGCCACCATATTTTGGATCTTGGCAGCCACTGCAGCACAGCCACTATTGTTGTTCCTTTAGTTATCCTGGGGTCAGACCACTGAGGCCTAATTTGTGCTAGGAGTCACGAGAGCCTAACCCTAAGAAATCTTTTCATGACAGGACTCAAAGCTGAAAGACTTAAAGGTATAAGTAACAAGATTGCTTTTTTTGAGCATCATGCCTTCATCTTACCACTTAGCAACTACTGCCATTACTGGGTTTAAGAAGATAGGCTTCCAGGCCAGAAGACTGGTCTCCAAGTAGACTACAGCTTCAGCACCTCTCATTTTAGCAATTAGGCATTTATAGCACAATTACAGATTACCTAATCTATATATCTACACTGTAAGAAGAGAAGACACAGCATGTTTGACATTGGGAATGCATTGCAATAAACAATAGCAGACTATGCTACATGAGCATGATCCAATGTACAAAGTTGAAGACTGCATTTAAAAGTACATGAAGGCCATATTTTCAGAATTATGGGCACTATAATTACAGACATCGCACTCTACCACCAACCCCCCTCCTCATGAAAAAAATAACTTTATAAGAAGCACAATTGGCTGACTGGGATGACTGGCCTTCCTGCCACCAGTATATGCAGACAACCATGTAACAAATTGATTTTTGTTACATATGCTTTAAAATAATATTTTTTAAAAAAATGTGAAAAGATCCTAAGAAAGTCAGCACAGAGATTGGTGTGTGAATGGAGAAGCATGAGGGACATAAGGATATTCTGTGTGTGCTTCAAACAGCAGTGAGGAGCTAATGCAGTCTTCCCCAACCTGGTGGCCTTCATGGGTATTTGGACTGCAATTCCCAGAATTCCCATCCAGCAGGGCCATTGACTGGGAATTCTGGGTGTTGCAGTCCAGACGTGTCTGGCAGGAACAAGGCTGGGGAAGGCTGATCTTATGCATTAGAAGAGGCCAGTCAATATTATTTAGAATTTTCTTAAAGGGAAAGTCAAAGGTGTGCTCTGACACATGCAGTGTGTTGTGCCACTGCTGGTAGGTTTCCTCCCGCCACCCGCACAAATAATTTGTAGCAACAGAACTGTCTTCCTAAAACCAGGGGGCGAAGGAAACGTGCTATTGATCAGAAATGGCTTCTGATCTACAGAAATGAATGCAAGTTTCATCCATTGTAGTGAAAAAAGATGAAGGCGTCCTCTTTTTGTTCACCACAGAGTTGCTTTTTGACTGTACTTAGCTTTGTGACAAATCCTCTTTCCCCTTTCTGAGTATTAGCTCTAATGAGTCACACTCTGTCTTCAGATGCAGCCAGAAGAACTTGTTAATCTTTTTAAAAATGATATGATAAAAAGGGTAATAACAGCTTTTTATCATGAACGTCTGGGCTCGGCAGAAGAGAAATGTAAAGTATTCCCTGGGTTGCAACTTCATATACTTCAGAAAGCCAAAAACTTGATTTAAATCAAGGGATGGCTCCAAGAGACTTCCAGTTCCAGACAATGAGAAACTCTGAAGAAAGCCCTACCTTTCCTGAAAAGAAAATACCCAAACAAGCCCCGCCCCAGAAAAAAAGTTCCAGAGAACTAGAGTACTTCTAATTCAAACAAGCTGCAAAGGCTTTTGAGTAATTGCTAAGATCCTTCCCCATGGTTTGCCTCTCTGACAGGAAAGAGAGCCTCTAGGATGCAAACAGGCATGTTGTCTGAATTCTTCAGAGAAGCCCCATACCCAATAACCTTCCCAATTTGCTTTCTCTGCATGTTTGCCCTAAACCCCATCCCCTATGTTCACCTGCATATCCCTCCTGCTTCCCAAATATATACAGACTCGGACAGTTGCCACTACAATTTGAACATGCCTGGCATGTGCAAGAATTCCAAAAAGTGTAATTGATAAATGATAAATGGAAAGAATCCAGAAAAGAAAGGTTGCCTGATTAGTAGGCCTGATTCCAAGTAGCTGTTTTGGCAACAGTATTAGCAGGATTTGGTCACCATTTGGGGCATGTGGATAGTACAATCTTGCAGTATGGTCCCTTTCCATATGCACACCACAACTGTATTCCATACATACAAACTCATCATTTCTACTTATAGCTAGATGTAACAGCATTGTGTATGGCACGTGTCTCTGTGTTTGGGTCTATAAATCCTAGGAGCAGCACTCACTGCCCCTCAGTTTGTTTTGTCCCTGTGGTGCCTTGTCCCTTCTACCAGCTCTCTTTCTCTCTTCAGTCAAGACAAAAATAACTCTCTTATAAACAGAAGATAAACTGTTGTATTTTTCATCATCCATTGTAAATAGGAGCAGGAGTATGGGATAAACATGTGCACCAAGTTTCATTCTGGTTTCTCAAATGTCATGTACAAATGAACTGGTAGATACCTTGCATTGAGCCCCTGCCCCACATCCCAGGTCTTTTGTGAAGATCCTTGAAATCTAGGTGATGTTTCTGGAAAGTCACAGAAATTCAGTGGGGAGGAAGGGGCAGGAAATTTTCTTGTGAACATCCTTGTATAACTGTTACATTGGATACACCTCAGTGAAATCAGGTAATATGTACCATGTCCAACCTGCAGCAATTTATCTGTTTAGTTATCACACATACACACACACTTTCTCTGCTAAAAGCTGTCAAGATAGTGCAAACAATTTAAAACATTCAAAATACCAAGAACAGAAAATTAAAATAGTAAAAACATCAAAACATTAAAGCCACATATTTTGAAAGACCAAGTAGAAAAGACAAGTCTTTCTACCCTTCTAAAAGACTAGAAAGTGGTGGAAAATTGGAGTTTCAGGAGAGTACATTCCATGGTTTGCAGGCAATGTAGAAGAAAGACCCTTCAAATAAGCATCTGCAGGCAATTGTGTCCTCAGAAAGGCCTCTCCTGCAGTTCTTAGTACTTGGACAGGTTCATAACAAAACAGGAGGTTCCTGGTACTTCTAGCAAAAACACCCCACATGGCTCCAGCTAACGCTGTTTGACCTGGATGTTCATTTCAGCAACAGGCATGAAAACTAACAGAGGGAGGTTTTTTCCCTAACAAAAACAAGACAAGGAAGCACGTACAGACCTGTGCACATTTTCCATCGCTGCTACCTCCGCCAGAGCAGCTAGGCTAAAGAATGCAGATACAGATGGCATGCCTGGTGTAATACTATGACCTTCCATTGACTCAGCATTTTGTAAAGATTCCTCACTGCAGTCCATCTCAGTACTTGATGCGTTCTGAAGAGTACTCTTCAGTTGTTCCTTTGGTTTCTCTTCTACAGCAGAAGCAAACAATTAAAATATTAACAACTGGGTTTCTAACACTGTATCCATATGATTCTCTCACCCACTCCATAAAATGGGTTGGCCTTGTTCACTGTGCCTTCCTTCTTAAATAGGAAACTGGCTGGTTGGTATACAGGCTAGAAAAAAAATCTCAGCAGAAATCTCAACCCTTAAATGGGTGCTCAACAAATGTAAATGTAGTATTTGTAATATACCTTAATGTGTATAAGTCTACTACTGCCATGCAAAAATTTTGAACTTTCTTGTTCCAGTGACAATTACTAAAGTATTTAGAGGGGAACATGTGTTGGTCTATTATAGCAAAAACAACAATGTGTCTTGCAGTACCTTAAAGACTAATGCATTTATTCTGGAAAAGGTTTTTGTGCAAATGAACAGTATCTATGAAAAATTATGCCAGACAAATTTGTTAGTTTTTAAGGTGCTGTAAGATTATTCCAAGTTCTCAGGCACAGGGCATCTAACTTTTCAACTCATGTCAAGTCCAGGGGTGGGAAACTTGTGGCCTAACTTTCATGTTAAGGATTAAATAACCCAGAGTTCCAATCCATGGTTTGTTCTTGGGTTAAAATTTTGGGTTGCTTAATTCTCAACAATCCTGAATGCCAAATTCAGACATCATGACAAACAAGCCAGGTCATTCCTGGGAAATTCCTTTGGAAAGTGGATGTAAAGCAGAAGTAGTGAACACAGGGAAGGCAGCACTTGTACTCAGTCCTGAGAACCAGTGAGTTGTCATTATGTACAAACTGAGCCCTTTTGTCCTTTCACCAAGAGAAGATTGTATACAATCTAATACTGACTTTGATGTTGTTGCTGTTTTTTATATGCTGATGTTGCAGCCCTGTCCACATTTTTCTGGGAGTAAGTCACACAACAGCATGCTTACAATAATAACGACATGTTTTGCATGATTCTGTTGAATTTCCCAGCAAATCTAGCCACATTCTTACCCACAACTCCTCCTGCTGGTGAGACCCGGCCATCTGCAGTCCGGACCAGATGTGTGATCTTGGTTTTCCTTGCTTTTCTCTTCTGGCTGCCAACCAAAGGTTCTTGTGTTGCTGCAGACTCTGGAACAGTAATGGGAAGCATAGAACCATTATTTCTGCACCTTTGCTTCTTGTGGTTTCTTTCTATTAAGAAATGAATCAAGTCACTTCAGCTTCTTCTAACAGGATGCTATATGTATCCTTCAGCACATAACACTAGGTAAGATTAATTCTCAGGACTGATTCCAATGACATTTTCCTGAACTCATGTCCTTCCAGTCTAGTGCAAAACACAATAGAAAACATCCAAAGATGCAAGACTGTATCATATGAGAAAAGACAAGTGTAAGTCTGCCCTTTTGAGTATGATGAAGCCTTGTATCTTTAGTGGTGGTTTAACCTGACTTTAGGATATGAACTCAGAAATAAAATGTCAGAACCAGGTTTCATTTTGATGGAAGAAAGTATTAAGATATATGTCACACAGGCTGTTTGACTACTGCTATAGTTGCTTCTCATTTCTCTACTTCATCAGTTCCCAAAATTTTTCAGTCATGGAACATTTCTGAAGACATTTTTTTCTGTGGAACACTAACTCTATCCCTGATTCTTACTAAGCATTGTGAACTCACAGTGTCCTTCCTTCTTTCATCTGCTCCTATTGCTTGAGTTTTTTTCTTAATGTAGGTTTGGAAATAAAGAGAAAACATTTTAAATATAGCGAATGAATAAAGTGATTATATGGCAATATCCCAAGCAAATTCTTTCAATTATTCCCCACACTATGCAATGAAGTTCTAGGAGCCAAATGACATGATGCATTTCCCTGTTAGCTGCTTGGACGTCAACTGACAGTTGAATGGTTGGCCTTGTGTGGTTTTTGTTTTAAACTTGTGGAACCCTAGGGTTCTGCAGAACCCAATTTGCTCTACTTGATGTTATAGATAATCTCCGCTGCAAATTATGATATTGCTGACCTCCTACTGGGCTGTCTGTGCAGGGAGCAAGGAATGCCTGAAATAAATCTCTAGTCTAGCTTCCCTTCCCTTCCCCTAACAGTTTATTGGAACTCCCACAGCTGAGAACAATGACCATCTATCAGGAATTGAGAGTACTATAAGAGGGCACAGGGCACATGCTAGGCCCAAGCTTATTATTATTATTATTTTTATTATTTTTTAAGGAAATCTGTAAGCATAACTTTCCCAATCACTTCACTAAGTTAAATCAAGTATCTGCAAAGTCTGCAGCTGTGGAGTTCTCTTCATTAATTTGGTTGTTATTATGTGATTTTTTGTTGAATTTCAAAAATAATAAGCACAGCATACCAAATGTTTGGACATGACTATGCCTCACTGAAAAAAAGTGAAAAACCAGATTGCTTCCACACTAGCAACTTACCTTACTCTGAACGTGTAATACTTTGTTCATTCATATTATATAGAGAACAAGCAAAGTCAGTTGCTAGCCAGATGCATTTTAGTATTTTCTATGTTGTCCATGCATTTTTTTAAAAAAGACAGCTTATAGCAATTCCCTTCCCACCCCTTTTAAAAGGCAATTGCAGAGGCAGCTTGTCATGTGTGAACTGGAAAAGTTTTATTGTTTCAACAAGGAAAGGAAGGATATATATATGGAGAGAGAGTGTGTGTTTTCAGGACTACATTAACTCTAATTAAAGTTTTCCTCTTCTGCCACTGCTTACTATTCAGCACAATTAATATATTATTGATGATTAACCCTTAATTAGTTTCTGTTCCCAATGTATGTGTTGTCTCTGTGTATTTAATTAGTGTTTTCCCTTTGCTTCCTCTCCAAGCAGGAAACTTTTAATTAAACTTGCAAGGAACCTTTGGTAAGTGAGATTTATTTCTGAATACTTATGGAAGGATCTTAGCCATAAGGACAGATAAGACACCACCTGCTATATTATATAGTGCCATTTGAGTAACATTATCAGCTAGGGTTCTAAACCATGGCATACTGTTAAGCCCAAAAAGGGGGGTGGAGAAGAGCACATTTCTAAACAAGCTCACCTCACACCATGGTTTCTGAAGCTGGCTTGTTTAACTAACCAGAGTTTGTTACAATAAATGAGCTCTGGTACATACATAATGACAAGTCAGGATTCTCTCAAACTGTATCCAAATGTCCACATCCTAGCTGTACAGGACGAGAGGAGAAGGCAGGAGTGTTCAAGCCTACAGAATCAGTTGCTCCATATCATGCAAGCTCATATTATCATTTGGGTATACCCGATCATTAAAATAATCTTCAAAAGTTCCTTTCTGTTTGCCATCCCCAGAGTGCTGTCATGGGTGGCGACCTAGGGAAAAAAGCCTTTTCTAGAATACCCCTTTCAGGTGTCTCCATTGTACACATTTCAATGAAAGTTTAAAATCTTCCTTTTCTAACAACTATCTTTAATTTGTTGTTCTGATTCTTAAATTTAGTGCTGGCTCTAAATATTTTTCATGTTTTAATATTTTCATTATTTTGTTTGTTATCTTGGTTAGTATATGAAGACTTTTATTATTGTAAATTGCCAGACTTTTTTTTTTTTTTTATTATAACATTTCTATGCCGCCCCTTGCCGAAACCTCTTGGGGGCAAGTAGATAAATAAATTTAATAATTAAATGCCAGTAAAGCTAATACTGATTAGAATTATTTGTGAACCAGCATTTTAATTGTGATTGGCAGAAAAGCAATATCTCAGTCATGCTAAAGAGCTCTAATAATGAAGCAACTGCTAGTTCTGCTAATTTCAGTGTGAAGTATGAAGAAAAAATCTTTATTGTACAAGTCACAGTGCCTCGTTTACATGTGCATTTACATGTACTGCCTTCCAGTTTGTTGCCCTTCTTTTTTCCACCACTTCTACAGTCTTCAGCTTTACCGCCTCCCCTTCCCCCCAAGAAAAACAACCCTATATTTAGAAGGAAAAGATGGAATAGTTGCATAATGAGTTTTGGCTGGTAGTGTTAGGAGCCCTCTATCTGGGAAAGTTCTTTGTCTTGAATGACCTTTGCTAGATTGCGGCCAGTGTGTTTTTAATGCATTTATATTTCATGTGGCTCAATTCTTTAAAACAGCTTTCCCCATTTGATGCCTTCCACATGTTTAGATTACAACTCCCATAAGTCTTAGATGGGGTGGTCAATGGTCAGACATCACAGGACTTGTAGATGAAAACAGGGTTGGAGGGCTGCAGGGTAGGGGAGGTGCTTTATGGTTTTATCCTCTTATCACTGATGTTTAGAGAAGTCATTTAGATTTTATAAGTGAAGTCTCAAGAAGGATTCCAATCTTACTCAAGAGTCCCACAAATGGCCTAAGCCCTGTCTTACCAATTCAATATCCTCACCCGAGGACAAAAAAGAATGATGATTTTTTAAAGAAGGCTGGTTGAAGAAGTCTGATGTAAACATTAGTGATGTAGCAAACTGGGTGGTACAAATGTGTGTGCACCGCTCAAGGCTTCTTACCTTTGTTGGATTTTGGCTGATCTGCTGAGCAGCTACCAACCTTCTTCTTTTTTCTTGGTACAGATACACTTTTCCGGTCAAATGTGACAGGACTATATTGAGGAAGGCTATTGAATTTCTTCTCAAATTCTTCTTCCAGCTTCGCTAAGCTAGAAAACAGAAGGCAGAAAAGGAACACAGAATAGATTAATGCAAATTTCTTTTTAAATTTTTTAAAATTTCTTTTTAAAAAGAGAAGCACATACACACAATGAGGGAGATGGCCTTCAAGGGAATTTAAATATTTTATGTCCTACTTCTGGCAGGATACTCGGAACAAGGTGAGTTACATTATGCCAACCCAAGGGCCAGTAAATAATGTCACATGGACTATACTGACCTATATGAGGATCAGTCAATGGCCATGCTGGCTACAAATATTGAAAGTTCCAGTCAACACAATTGGAAGGCACCAGGTTAGGAAAGGCTGGCTTGTCTTGTACATGAATCTACAAATACACTGTTTCCTTTAAGTTAACCATGAAGTTCAGTTCTAATTTCATTAAGTCAAGGTGAAGGAGTTTTCAACTACATGGAAAGACTTTCCATGTGGAATTGTGCCTACATAGTTTTATTTCTTAAGAGATGGCCATACTACTAATATACTATACAGAACAGGCTTAACAGTGCAATCTTGTATGTTTACACAGAAGCAATTCCCACCGAATCATTTGGGATTCTTCACATGTAAACAGGCATATAATTCAACCCTTACACTTGTCATCATGTTTTTACTCATCCTTTTTTGGTTGATGAAGAAAGCAGGGCAGGGCTATTGTTCAGGGCTTCCGTTTGTAGCTTTTGTTTTAATTTAATGGGAAATTTTTAGAGTATACCTTAGGATTTTCTTTTGTTTTTAAATTTTAATCAATTTGTCACAAGCAAAACTCAAACAATGATATTAGTATGTGATCATAAAGGAAGCAGATTATGAAAATGTGCCTGTTCCCTTGGAAAATTAGAAATTATTTTAAAATGTATTAAAATTTGTTGTAAAATTTTTAATAAGATCAAGCAACAGCAGCCACTGCTATTTTTATTCTAGGAAATTATATAAAGCTTGAAGAAAAGGAATTTCCATAACGATGTCTTTGTCTGGATCACTGTATCACACTAAATCAGTTTTATATTTAAACACTCGCCTGGTACCCATGAGTGACAAGAACTTGCATTCAGAAAATGTGTGGAATGCTGGATAACTGGAATAAGCAAACTGGGGGCAAAGGGATGGAATGATCCTTTTCTCCTTGTACAGAAACTAATCAGCTTGTTAAAGGAAGGAAGACTGCTTCTTTACATCCAGCACAGAAATCAAGTGGGCTGCTAGAAGAAGGCTAAAGTTCTCTGGTTCTCTTTGGCCAGCCTTGAGCATGCTCATAACCTTTGTTGCCAATCAGGTCATTATAGTTTGACTTTCCTTGATCTTTCTCCTTATAGTTCTGGGAGTCTTCAACTGCCTGTTAATTTCCTACAACAGATAAAAACACTTCTAATCTATTGTTCAATGGGTTGTAAGCCAGGTCATGTATTAAGCAGTAATTATAACACAGAAAATTTTGTATACTATAATTTTGTATACAAATACTAGGTATGCAACCCCATGTATATTTAGTCAGAAAATGCCAGCATGTTCTGGCCAAAATGAGAGTCTGAGGATTTTTTCCCCTGCATAAACATGCACAGGTCTGTACCCTAAAATACAGAAGGTCCCAAAAAATGTAAACACATTTTAAGAAAGTAAAAAACTGTATTATAAACTGCTGCACAGTGACATTATCATTCGAGTAACGCCATCTTTTGAGCGAACATACGACTACACATTGCTACTGTATTCAATTCAACTTCCAAAAGTAATACATAGATAACATCTCTTAAAATGTGTATACGCTTGTTTGGCATCTCCTGTATTTAAAAGCAGCTAAAATTTCCTAAGCACTGCTGCTAGAAAACAGAACATCAAGGAACCTATTTTGCTGAAATAACTCTATAGAATTGGCTGGTACTATCACAAGCAAGGAGTTTCTGTATCAGAGAAGCTATGTATCTAATCCCCAAATAAGGCCACATTTATACAATTTCTAAAATACTACTTAATTGTCACTATGTCAATACTAACTGCTATTTCATGCAAGAACTTAACCAAGTAACTTTTACGTTAGATGCAATTAGCCTGATATAAGACTTTGACAAGATGATTTCTTAGAGTGCAATTCTATTGATTATTCCTTTGATGCTTGTAACCCTCTAAACGCAAAGGTTTATGAGCACAGTGCACAGCAGGAGCAGAGGCATTCTCTCCTTCCCTGCATCACTTACTCTGTTTTTAAGCTAGACAGCTGATTTTAGCTAGGTGGCCACAGTCTCCTTCCTTTCCTGCACTTTTACTCCTACTCTGAGGTTGACTTCCTGAGAAACCACAGAGAGGCAGCTGTTGTAGCTCTTCCCACTCTGGCTCTGTACATGCCTGTGTGTGGGGAGGCTCACAGCACAAATTTTTCAATATAGTTGTGAATAGTTCAAACAGATAAATATTGATCAGAGAACAGTCTTGCATAGAGAGGCAAGCAGGATCCAAGGAAAAAAGTGCAATCCGTATGAGTAAATCCTTCTGCTGTACCAGGTGTGCAAAAACTTGACGTGTTGAAAAGACAGCACCAGCAATCTGGTAACACACTTCCAACCTTCTGTATAATTCCATAGGGATTTTTCATCAACTGTCTGTGCATTAATAAGCAAATCCACAGTGCACAGCTGTGTACATGTAGACTTTTGCTGCTCTTGTATTTCATTAGCAGAACATCCTATCCATACACAGCATGAGATTTAGACCTAATTCTGAAGTATTACTAAAGCTGTTTGATCTTTCAAAAGATTTACTTCTTGTCAGCATAATATAGCTATCAAGAAGTGGGATTTTTGTCACCTGCTCACGCACTGGCAGTATCTAAAACTCTTGTTGCCTTTGTTGAGTTCCATGTTGAGACCTGCTAGCATGACCACAGTAATGACAAGCAATTTGGCTGACCTTATCTCCTGTCCACTGAGTTATGAAAGGGATGGACCTTTTGTAATTAGTCATTGTATATATGGTTTTCTGCACATCTGATTAACTTACAGGGGCGTCATGGCTGCATTTCCTTAAACTATTTTTTCTAAAATAACATAATTTGTTTTATTTATTTTTTTATTTATATGCCACCCCATTAGCCATAGGCTCTCTGGGTGGCTTACAACACAGTAAAATACACGATATACAATACAATGAAACAATAAAAACCAATAAATATAAAAACTACTAAAATTAAATAAGACAAATAAAATTATAAAATGAATAAAGAACATAATTATCATAACATAGGATCAGAAAATAAAGAGGACATAAGCCAATTAAAACATAATTAATGTCAGTATCTACCATAAAAATTCATAGAATCATAAAAGACAGCAGCATTTAATAACATAAAATCTTTAATATCATGATTAAAAATTACAAACCAAAAGATTCACCTGCAACAATAACAATGGAACAAAAACGTCTTTAGCTGGCATCTAAAAGAAAGGAGTGTGGGGCATCAACAAAACCTCTAGAGGGATTGAGCTGGGATCCTTAGCTGGAAGACCATGATTGAAAAGGCCCTCTTCCTTGCCATCTCCCCACTTACTTCATTAGGTGGAGGGAAGCAGAGAAGGGCCTCAGATGACAACCACAGGCACACCTATATAAAAACAAGCACGTTTCTCTACACCAGTTTGAAAGAGATTTCCTTAAATGAGTACTTGCATTTCATGTCACTCACCCCAAAACTATTTCTTCCTTTGGCTTAGGTTTTTTAAGCTTTTTGTTCCCACTTGTCCCACCTGGGGAAAATGCCCAATTTTCTTCATTCCAGCAGCCTTCATGATCAGAGTTGCCACCTTTTCCTGAGCTTCGTTTCCCTAGGAAAGATATTAGGAGAAAGTCAGAGAAAATAGTTTGGGCTTTTTGCATGGGAGATTGCTAGCAAAGCTAGAACAATAGCTTAGTGGAAATGTAGGCAAGTAAGTATATCAGGAAACCTATAGCATAAGGGAAGCTATGCTTGGACTTGCAAACTCCTATTAAATGAAATCATTATTTAGCATTACAACTCCCAGACAACTCCTTACATATCTGTAAAAATGGTGTGATTAAATCAGTTATCCCAAATCCCCAAAGATCATGTCTCTGTTAAAGCAGTCTTCAAAGGAAAGCAAAATCAGACTAAGAGAAATTAACTTATTAACCATTTTTAATTGCACCTGTTTTGTACTTTTATACTTTCGAAACTATATTTTAATTTTACTAAGGTTGCAATCTTATATTTATTTTCAAAGAGCAAGTTCCATTGAGGTCAATGGCAATTACTTTTGAGTAAAGAAACATTTCTATGAGATACATAAACATCACATGCATAAACATCAAGTACAATAAAAATAATTATTTTTGAAAAGGCACATAGTCATCTTTTCAAATCAAAGTCTCCAATGAAATAATGTCATTAGATATGCAAAGTGGAACTTAATGTACATCAAGGATAACAATAAGACGTATCTCTTCTACCTGGATGAAGAAACTGTGCATCTAGTGACCTTTTATTATGTCTCAATTGGTCTAGCACAGAGGTCCTTCTCATGACAACATATGAGCTGAGATCAAACTAGTCAGTCTTAAAGGAGATCAACCCTGACTGCTCTTTAGAAGGCCAGATACTGAAGATGAAACTCAAAAACTTTGGCCACCTAATGAGAAGGAAGGACTCACTGGAGAAGACCCTAATGCTGGGAACTATTGAAGGCAAAAGAAGGGGACGACAGAGGATGAGGTGGCTAGATGGAGTCACTGAAGCATTCGGCGTGAGCATAAGTGGACTCCGGAGGATGGTGGAAGACAGGAAGGCCTGGAGGAATGTTGTCCATGGGGTCGCGATGGGTCGGACATGACTTCGCGACTAACAACAACAAAGCAGGATCTAGCCAGGTTCCAGATCTAGTCAGGTCCCAGACATAGTCTCAAGGAACATGATTTGGGAACTGTACTGAAGCTAACTAGATTTAGATTGCTAAAGACTGAATGGCAGTTCATGAAACAAAGGCTAGGCATAAATGTACTAAGTCAATAAATGTTTTCCCAAATGTTTTAATGTTTTAGCAATATGGGATGCTATGCAGAGAGTCAGTGAGTTTTCACAAAGCTCTAGTCTGCAGTTGCTATTTTCTTGTGCTGGCATTGGAACAAACCCTAGTTCAAATGCTAATGCAACAGTAGCCTTGCCTTTATCTGAACAGGTCTTTTTTGTGTTTTTGAGATACTGCTAGATCAAAAAAGAGCCTCTTTCTAAGAAGAATGTAGTAGGACTGGGGCTGCAAATGGGAAAGGAGGCTTTAGTATTGACTTAGAGAGATATCCCTTTTAACAACCATTATTAGCTTTGGCTCCAGGAACATAATTTGTTTCAGCCTGTTTCAGACCAGAATAACCAGAATTTAGACCAAAATTATGCAACTAAGCCCCCCAAAACATTAATGTGGGCTCAAATACAATCTGAGGTCAAATATGTGCATTTCTGAAATTGTGATGAGATTTGCAGACAAAGGAAAAGTGTGTTATAAAATGTATATATTTGAAAGTACACATTTAAAAGTGTGTATTTCAGAAAAATGCACAAAAGCACATTTTTATCAATTGGGGAAAAGTGTATACCTCTGAAAATGTACACAATTGATTAATACATTAGGAAAATGTACACCAAATGCATACAATTGTTTATGCAAAATTTTAAAAAGGCTTGCAAAATGATATGGCCAATCGGTCAAAAGAACTCCTAAGGTGGAAATGGATTTTCAAATTGTCTAGTTTGTGAGGCAGACTAGGGCACCCCTTCTCAGCATCGGCACTATATGAAGGCTACAGCTGCTGCTGCAATGCTAATGCAGCGAAACATTCCCTTCCCAGAGTATCAATGCGCTGCATGAAATGTGTGTGTATGTAAGCACATTCAGGGAGCTGACAGGGAGAACACAGTTGTTTCCTAAGAAGGAATCACACTAAGTAAGGGTTGTGTTATTATTACTGATTTAATTTCTATACCTCTCTTGGCTGAAGCTCTATAGAAGGTTATTGCACTTGGACAGAAGATGGGTTTGGCAAAAGTGTGCTTATGTGCAAGAAGAATATGTAATTAAAATTATGTTTGCACAAACACAGTTACATATGCAGCTGTGCAAGAGGTTGTGTAACCACCCATGCATAATGTCTGTGCAATATGATATGCAACTGCATGTACAACTGTAACACTCAAATACTTGTGCAATGGAAAAATTCAGTAAAGGTCCACTGGCATATTTAAATGTGTGCAATTACACATTAGATACTACCCCTGTGATTAACATGTAATTAAGGCTACATTCCTAGACAAATTTACTATGAAGTAAGTCTCCTAAGACAGTAGGAGTTACTTCTGAGTAAATATTCACAATAACATGCTATACATATACAATTAGTTCTAAACAGTAAACAAGACTGGAAAATTAGTTTGGAACTAGTAATTTCCTACCTCACTTTGATTTTTCTTTCTTTGATTTGGAGATGGACATATTAAAAGTCACATACCTCTGTCAACATTAGCACGCAGGGAGGTAAGCATGCCCTCTGAAACCAGTGTTTTATACAGAGCACCCTTGCAGGCTCTCTCAGATTTTCTTGAGCCACAAATCTCTGCTTTTTTGTTGCAGTCACTGTCTTCAATTTTGACTTGCTCTGGTAAACTCTGTGGTATTACATCCTCTATTGGGGTTAGCGGTTCTGATTTGATATCTTCTGGGACCTCACATGGTAGCTCCTTGTTCTCTGTAATGCTAAGAAAATCAGGAGGCTTTGATTCTTTGGTGGTCTCCACACATTTTTGTTTTAGTGCTCTTTTTTCTTTTGACTTCACTTTTTTCTTTGGTGGCTTTGCATCTATCATGTTTCCTTTCACCATTGAAGAAGGGCGGACTTTCTTACGGGGCACTTCTAAGAGTCTCTCTGCTCCCCAGTCCCCTTTTGCAACTGCTTCAATAGTATAAATGACACTCTCAATGTCTGATTCAGAAGACTGCCTCTTTTTGCAAGCCTTCTTAGGAGTACATTTTTCAAGTGCTTGCCGGTCCAGCTTATTTTTCTTCTTCTTCTTCTTTAGCTTTTCTGGCTTTCTTAATCCTAAGGTGCTGATATCAGCCATTGTCAGCTCTTGGGAATGGCAGGCAAGATCTTTTACAGTAGTGCTGTCAGATCCAACTAATGTTGTGCTGTCCAGTGCAGGAGCTGCAATGTGGCTGCATCTTGTCATCTCCAACTTCCCAGTCTTTGTCTTTTCATGTACCTGGCCCCTCATTTTCTGAGATTTTTCAGTTTTAACTTTCACATTCTCCAGTTCTTCAACTTTTATCTTCTCTGGTACTTCTAAGGCTTTGATAATCCTGGATGCTTCTAGTTTTGCCTTCCCATGCTCCATCACTTTTACCTCTTCTGATGCAAGGCACATCTGAAACAAGGGTAAAATATTAATTCTACTTTCCTATTTAATATTAAGAAGGAGTGTTGTGCAAGAGCTTCAGGTGAACCTAGAAGAACCATCCTCAGTTTTGACAAGTCTAAATTCTATAGCCCATGAGAATGCAAAACCCATATTAACAACTAGGAGGAGTACATCCTGTTAATAAAATAGAATGACCCTCTGCTCATCGCCTTAAGCTCTTTGGATGAATAAATAAATACAGATGGACAGACTTCAGAATAGAAGTATCCAAGACTGAACTATTACAAAGTGAATTAGTTGTGGAAAATGACACACATACTTCCTTAACCTATATTATCCTCCACCCTGATTTTTTTCACAATTTATGTTAGGAATATTGGAATTTATTTCAGTATAATCTAGATAAAGAGCTAAGGGAAACTGAAAATGCAACACATTTCTGAAATGCAACACATGTAACCATTTCTTTAAATATACCTAGCACTTGCATAGTGCCTTTTCATGCTGTGTACAAACTGAGCAGGTACTAAGCAGCAGCTATTCTGCTCACCTAAACAACCAGGTAGGTTTAGAGATGTTGGCACTGTGACAGCACCCAAGGGGGGGAAAAGAACAAAGTAAGCACCGCAATTATTTTTATTGGTCTAAAGCTAACTTCTCCCTATCGTACAAAGGTCCCAGTTCCTTTTGCTACAATGTATGGCTAGTGAGCACTGTTAAGATGCATGTGTTGATCTAAGCAGTATCTTTAAAAGAATGGTTTCTAAAGCACAGAAGTGTCAGAAGAAAATAAGTTAGTATAATGACAGTGAGAAAAGGTTTGGTAGACAAGATATTCTTCCCATGTTGCCTAGTGAAAACAGAATCACACTGAGATTGTTTTTATGTAAACATCAGTTTTTATACACCATTAATTCCTTGCATAGAGTCTAAGCAGTTTCTTTCAAGGCAGCACTTCTATGTGATATGGCATTTTCCAGGCATTTAAACTACAATATCTTGGTGACACTTGAGCAAAGAATTGAATTTTCACAGAATTACTTCTTCAGATTTTCTCTGCAATACAGTTGCAAGATTGTAACTGCCACCTATCAGGCAGTACATGTTTCAAACCTGGCAAGCAATGAAACACTTTGTCCAGTTACAACCTATATGTGGCTAAGGTTTGGTTAGCTTTACCATTGAATAAATAATATATACATATTTATATTACATTAAAATGTTAAAAATGATGTATATATCATTAAGGGGTTGTACTCTGAAGAGCTAGAAAGGAATCCAGTGTTTGTGCCCACACATGTGCAGTTAATTAGCCTAACAATTAAGGAGTTTTTATTTGATTTTTTTAAAAAATGTCCTGGCTGAAGAGGCTTGTTCAAGTCTTTATTCTTGTTTTTGTAAAGTAGCAAACAGAGAAAAGTTTATGTTGCCTAATAAGTTCCCCTTACTTATTAGGTAACATCCAGTGGTGTTTGGTGCTAATGCTAAATTAAGTAGTGGCAGCATAAACTAAGTCTTCTGCAAGCTAATCAAGGGGAATTTGTGGCAGAATTGGGCAAATGGCCCTCCCACTGTTCCCCTTATTGTGCTTGTTGTGTTGCACAAGCATTGGTTTAAGCTAGGTTTATATCACTAGTACTAGCGTCTGGACATGACTGGATCATTCTCAAAACATGCAGAAAGATGCATTAATATTGGCACTTGGTTGGCACTACGGTAGCATTGCACATGAAAGCCACATTCCAATGCAGAGTTAATGCATTTAAGTTTATTGATTTCAATATCCATGCTCAATCTGAAATCATAACACTTAGAAGAGATACCTTGTTGAAATGCTGGTTTTTGTTTTACTTTTGTGCTATTTTCCAAATTTAAAAACAACTTTTAAAAATCATGTCATGTCCTTTGGAATCAAGTGCACAAGATAGTACATGTGAAAGAATCTTGGAAAGATACTATTTTTTTGCAGCCAGCATCAATTCAATATAGAACTTAGATAATTGATACATTTTCACATCTAGAGGAACCACAGTATTCACTGTCTGCTTTCCCTCATTTATCATTATTTAAACAGTAGCAAACTGGATGAAGCCTATGGATGCAGCACGCACACTAGAAAGGCTAATATACAGCAAGGTCTGAATGAGGATAGCACTGATAACCCCCACTGAGAATGAAGTCTCTTGTCCTGCGTAGTCCCATCCAGAGTGCCTTCCAAAGTGTGATGGGATACCAGTAATTGACAAGCAACACAAACTTTCCCAGGCATTCATTTACCACTTTGGAACATTACCACAGAAGACAGAAAATGCCCCCCTCCCAAAATAATTAACAGATATGTTTTATATGGTTGTGTACTACTTAGTACCCTACTACATCCCGAGGTTAGAAATTCTTAGCTTGCTAGTCTGATCATACAAAGATGGCGTGCCTTATGGTTACACAAGGAAAATCTTGATTCTTGGCACCAACATGGTAATTTATGGTTCTATAAACAACAATGCTAATTATGACTGTACTACTCTGTTTCCCAGGCCTTGGCAACTAGCATCATTCAATTTCTCTTCCCTAATGCACCAGTAGTAATTAAGCCACAGGATTTTAATACTACCTCTGCCAACTGAAACAATGCTGATGTCCCACACTGCTTTGTTAATTCAGAAGGACCTGAATGGGATGTGCTTGATGAAATCTGAAGGAAAAATAAAGAAAGAAATGGGTGACGAAAGATAAAATCACAATGCTACTAATAAAGTTGTACCTTTAAACTTAACATAAAACATTGAAGGAAATGTCAAATTCTAACATTATACTTAGAAGAGTAATTCAAGAACTGGGAACCCAAACAGGTAAGTATCATGTTAAGAAATAATCTGTTAACTAATATTCTCTTGGAGAGCAGCAGAGAAATGCTGTCAAATCTGATACTGTTTCAGGGGTAAACACCAACTAATTAGGACATCACTAAATATTAAATATAGGACAAATGTTTCCTCTGGTGTCAACAGATATATTTTGATGAACTGACTCATTTCAGTATAAAAAATATGTCAGTTTACAGTATGGAAATTAATGTCCATGCACTTTTAACTTGTATATCAAAATCAGTGCTTATATATCTGAAGGTATAGTGCCACAATGGAGAATAAATAGCTGTCTATAGGTATTACGTTGTGACACAGAACTTAGGTGTGTTGGTACAAAATTATTGTTTTTAGCAATAGGATACATTCTTGCCTAATACATGGTGAAGCAATGTACATATAAGAAAGGGGTTGAACCATGACAGCAGGTCTTGCTGTGAATCTGTAAATTAGGCATGGGGAAACTAATCTGCCAGCTTCTTTCCCAGAAGAGCACAATTTCTGGGCAAGAAAAAATTCTGATCAGCAGCTGATCTAAAGACCTCTCCCTTAGTGAGAATTGTAAAAGAGTCCCTTACGTGGCATTCAGCTCCAGCTGGAGCTTTCATAAATGAATCAACATATAGAAGAGTTCCATGCTCTTGCAGAGGCTTGGTATCTGAGATGCTATTTGAAAATGCTGTTGAGTGAATCAGTCCTGCATACTTCTGAATAAATAAGGAGTTTTGCTGCCTTCAGAGTAGGCTTAAAATCAGTGAAAATCACATTTTAGATCTGTACAGTCTGCCTTTGGTTTGTCCCACAGATGGAATGCACCCCACCCCCGACCTTCCTCTGGTGGGAATTCAAAGCTTGGGATAGAAAGCAATCCCTCATCCCTGCTACACATGTGTTGAATGTCTTGCAGACACTCAGATGAATGTACATATACATGCTCACTCAGCATATGCTGTGAGAAAAGGACTACCATATTATCCAATTGAATGAAAATTTAATATACTGCAGCTCCTGCTGTGAACCATCTAGCCAGCTGGGAAGACCTCATCTCTTCTAAATTGTACTTAAGCCAAGCCACTATGCCCTCGGACTGCAGTAAGAGCCACAGTGAGGGTTTGGACTTGTTAAATTTTATATTGTTCTGTGTTAACATATTTTTACTGAATACATAAAAACACAATACACTGGATATATATAAAAAGGAAATTATTCTATATTTACTAAATTGCTTTTGTCTTTTTAAATTTACTGATACATTTTTTTAAAATTAAAAATGACAAAATATATCCATAAATTTGAGCACCTTAATGTTTCCTGGGAGATACTTCGACACTGCTTGTCCACAGTGGAAAAATGGCACATAAAAAAACTCCAAACGTATTCTGAACAAACACTTCTGATAATAATACATGTACCATGCACATATACACATACGTGTCACACCAATACAGGATTGGCCACAGCTTCCTGGCATGTTTACTCATGCATAGGTAAACAAAAGCCCTATCTATGCATTACTGTCAACACAGATATTAATAATTACATTTCATTTGTATACCGTCCAATAGTCAAAGTTCTTTGGGCAGTTCAAGACAATTCATATAAACAATGCAATAAAGTACAATAAAATGCCATAAAATTTTATGAACAATACAAACATTTTAAACAAACAAACATCCAGTCCATTGTGACAGCCAGACATTAGTTTAACATATCCACAGACTCACCTGATGAGGATGAAAAAGCTCCATGTCATCAGCATACTGATGGCAACACACTCCAAAATTCCAGACAACCCTTCTCATCAGTTTCATGTAGATATTGAGTAGCATGGGGGACATACTTGATCCCTGAGGAACACCATGCTAGAGAATCCATGGGGTTGAACAGTATTCCCTAAGCGTCATCTTCTGAAGCCAGCCCTCCAAGGAGGAGCAGACCAATTGCAATGCAGTATCCCTCACTTCCAATTCAGTTGCCTCAGAAGGATACCATGCTAGATGGTATCGAAAGCTGCTGAGGAGTTTAGGAGCATCAACAGGCTCACTCTCCCTGTGTCTTCTCAGCATAGGTCATCATACAGGGTGACTAAAGCTGTTTTTGTATCAAAACTAGGCCTGAATCCCAAAGGAAACAGATCCAGGTAGTCAGGTAATCTTGCCTATGAGTGCCTGAAGTTGTTTTGTAACCACCCACTCAAGAACCTTGCCCAGGAAAAGAAAATTAGAAAAGCAAGTGTTAAAGACATCTTCACTGTGCCATTAAACATGGATGTGGATTGCTTAAAGCAACAAGCAGTGAATACTTGCCTGGCAACTGTAGTCAGACAATGATTCCTGTGTGTGAATGTTTCATACAGCAGCCTGGTTTACCTTCAGATGTTTTAGACTACAGATGACACCATCCCCAGTCAGCCTAGCTAATGATGAGGGCAACAGCACAGTACAGTGGTACCTTGGCTCACGGACGCCTTGGTTCACGAACAAATCAGGTCACGAACAAAAATTTCTGAAAATGTTTGACTTGGGTCGCAAACACCACTTTGGGTGGCGACCAAGATCGCAGCCATCTCCCGCCCCCCCCCCCGAATGGGCAGATCGCCATGATTGTAGTTCTGTTCATACAGGGAAGGCGTGTGTGATCAGAGGTGCGCTGCTGCAGGAAAGACAGCAGCAGCAAAGCAGAGCCGCGGGGGAGATGGCCGAGATTCCGCCTGTCTTTCCTGCAGGAGCGTGCCTCTGATCAAGCATGCCTTCCCTGAACAAACGGAACTGCGATTGCGGCCATCGCCCCACCTCCAGCACACTGTTTGCGCCCATCTCTCCCTCCCCCAGTGCGCCCGCGATCACGCCTATCTCCCCCCCCCACCCATCAGTGCACTAGGATGACGGCGCGTGCAAGGTTGACAGGAGCAATCACGTTTCTGCTGGGGGGGGGCGGGGAGATGGCTGTGCTCGTGCTTTGGGTGGAGGGAGGGAGATGGCCATGATCTTTGTTGCTGTCACTTCGCTTCACATTTTGCTGATTTAAAAAATGGTTACAGAACAGATTAACCTTATTTACATTGAACCTTATGGGGAAATTTAACTTGGCTCACGACAATTTGGCCCACGACCAGAGTCCTGGAATGGATTAAGTTCATGAGTCAAGGTACCCCTGTATATCCAGAGGCAGAAGGCCTCTGTGCAGCTATCGACCCCACAAAACATTGCAGAAAAAGTAGGACTGACAAACTGTGGCATTATGCAAAGTTTGGCTTTTCCTATTATGTGCAAAAGCATTTCTCAAGCACATTTAACTTTCTCTGTACTGTACTTATAATTTTGTTTGCATATGAAAACAAATTTACAATATATATACCACTGGGATGACTCCGTAAGTCTTATCCGTAAGACTCATTATTCCAATGTCTTTTTGGTAAAGGTATTTCTGGTATCTACTCTTGTAGTCTGTCATTAAATAATAAAAAAGATACATGTTTGACATAAGAAGCTAACTGAAAGCTTACCTCAGCTAACTGAAAGAGGGCTGACTTCTTACAATGCTTCACAGGTTCAGGACTTCCCAGCTGTGAAATAAGAGGTACAAATCTTAAACTATGTTTGAAGTTTTTTTAAAAAAAGAAAAAAACCTTTTAATTGTAGGTAAGGTAGACAAGCAGAGTAGTTGGCCCTGTTGGACATTTTAGTTGCTCACTATCAGAATAATCTATTTTGTTCCTGGGCTTTTACTGTGGATTCTCAGGTTCCTCAAGATACAATGACATCTCTGCATATCTTCTGCTACCTGGTTTCAAGGTTCAGTAAGCAGAAGACACCTTCATAAGTCTGATCATAGCTCCAATGCAAAATGTTCCCTACATTACAGACAGTTCCCTACATTACAAAAGCATCACTGTACCATTAAGCATGCATACTGATTGTTTAAAGCAACAAGCAGTAAGTCCCCACTAGCCAAATCAATTCTTTTAACTGAGAAAAATCCAGCCACTGGGTAAGCAAAGAGGTGATAAGAATACCGGAACTACAGTGAATAGTGTCATGTTCTATAATGAATTGTATATGACTGACAGGAGAACTTGTGTTCCTGGGCTAAGGCTGTCCATGATAAATGACACATACACTTGATGGTATCATTTCTTTCACAAAGATCCAATATTATTCTCTCCTATTGTGAAAGACATAAAGAGAAAGGGAACATATGAAGAACACCCAGGCTGAACAGAAAAGCTATCTGGGATGGCTGCCAAGAATCCTCAGGCAACCTGGACCCCAACACAATGAACATCACTGCGCAAGACTGTTGTACTGCTGGATTTTTGCACATGTGAGAGTGGTGGGCAGTTTTTATGCTTACTGAATGCTTGCTTGTGTGCTTTTATGCTACTGGCTGCTTACTTCTTCCAAGTGCAGTAATATTTTTCTCAGTGGGAAAATTGAAATCATAGTTTTAAAAGGAGGATAATTTTGTATTAAAAAAATTTCCCAGAGATGTCCTGAGGAAATTGGTAGCTTGTATTAATAAAAGAAGCAGGGGTGCCAGTAGCTGAGATAAAAGTTTAAGATACTATATAGAAGGTTGCATGTTTCTCTCTTAAAAGAATCTCAGTGTAAGTGTTCTACCATATTCTGAATGAAAATGACCTCTTCCCTGGCAGAGAAAAATGCAGTTAATTCTGCTTACTGCTGCTATGAGTGCTTGGATTGACGCAAAGGAATACCTCTGGTAAAGAAGTTCAAAATACTTACTAGCCCTTAAGTGTCTTTACAGCTCTTTACAAACTCTGAGGAAAAATATTGCAGTCTATTTCCAAAGAGAATTCAACTTGGCACAAAAATAACAGTGTAGAAAGCTGTGTGCACTCCAACAGGAAAATCTCTATCTTTCAAATATATAACAGGCTTCTAATTTTAATTGAAAAACAGAGTTTCTTTTCCTTTCCATATTTTCAGACTAAGAACCAGTGTACATGTTCCTTTAATGCCATAACAAGCAAGCATAATATTTTTTCTTTCATTCTAGAGCAGTAGTAGGCAATGTGGAACCTGTAGGCATCAATGTACTTCTGTAAACTTTTCTTGGCACCACTGAAGTGCCATATTCCCCGCAAGACATTTTAACAAACAATAAATTTGTTTACTAGCAGCTGGGATTGCTCTGAAGCAAAATAAGGGCTTTCAGCTGCTGCCCCATGAACAGGGACAGGCTTGGGAATGAGATCACTAAGATTCTCCACTCATCTTCCCATGATGCCCGATTCCCATTTGCAAGGAACCTTGTGCAAACTGAGCAAATCTGCATTGATAATTTGCACAAATCTGTTGAAATCTGCTTCTCTCTTTTCCTAAACAGAGGGACCAAGTCAGTCTATGGAACAAACTTGCATCAAGTAAAGAAACTTATAAAGATGCACCAGACCAGATATACCAGACAAGATTCCCTGAAAGACAGCTTAGCCATTATTATTAGATTGCAATGGCAGTTCATAGTTATCACCCTTCTAAGACCAGTTGGTCCCTTTATATACTGAAGAGCTGAGAGCAATGTAGAGATGACTAGGACACAAGCCGCAGGAAATTCACCTCAAGCCTGACTGAACACATGTAAAGAACTCATTGTTGGGCCTATTCTGTGACAATGGCAGCAACAAAGAAATAATTCTCTGCCACCATTGTGCCCTTGCAGTGCTGTGCACTTGGACTGTTCCAGGAAATTAGAAACTTGTTGCACAATGGCCCATCCTTCACAGGGATGCTGACATATTTGCAAGGCAGTATGAGGATAAAGTAACTCATAACTGTTGTGAGCCGCCCCGAGGCTTCGGCGAATGGGGCGGCATAGAAGCTTCCTAAATAAATAAATTAAATATCCAGTAAGAAAAAGAATGACAGCTCAGGGGTAGAGGAGATACTTGGTATTCAGGTACAATCATTGGTGTCTTCTGCCTGAAAGAATCCTGCCTGAAACTCTGGAAAACTGGTGCCAGTGAGTGTAAACCATACTGGGCTAGAGGAGGTTCCTCTAGAAGTGTCCTCCTAGTTGTTTTTAACCTATAAGAATCTTGATCTGGGGGACAGAAACATCTTAGAGAGCATTTGCAGAGCAGCACTGGGAACTGCACTTAGAAAGGGGCTTTTAGCATTTCGTACTGAATGCTGCCTCCTGCACATGCATTTGTATTACCTAGGCGAATGGATTTGGAAGCTTTGTTCACGCAATTAAAGTAGAATGCCACCTTTAGATCCTAATGATTTTAGGTAAATCTGAGTGCAAGAAGTCATCTTGCTTTACCCATGATATTTATGCATATTGTTGAAACAGCAAAGGCCTCAATCACACAGAAAGGGGTACTATCAGAAAAACTTCCATCTTATTCTTTGCAAGTATAGAACAATAACAATAAAATGTTGAGTTTGATTTTAGACAGAAATCTTCAGCACAGATGGTGTCAGCAGAGCAGTTTTTAGTATACTGCAGTCATACAACATCCTGTGTGAACCACACAATAAATAAATAATAAATAAATAAACCAGAGTTTCAGATGCTGTATTGGCACTATTCTTCATAGCAAATCCCAGAGTTATGTGTTACATTATTTTTCCTGCTGATTAAATTCATTATCGTGGCACAAAAAAGTAATATGCGCAGCTCAAACTTTCTTTGCTGTCTGTGCTGAAGCTGTTCCTGATGATGCAGAGGAAAGGAATGTAAACTGCCTTGGCCACCCTGTGGGATGATCCTTGCCGGGAGACAGATGGGGCAGTGTGACTCTGTTGATTCTCTCTCAGCCTCCTGTAATGCCATCGACCATGGTATCCTTCTGGAGAGGTTGGCCAGGTTGGGAGTTGATGGCACTGCTTTGTGGTGGTGGCTCCATTCCTACCTGGCAGACCATCTCCAGATGGTGGTACTGGGGGACTGTCACTGTGCTGTGGGACTTGTGCCAAGGAGCTATGCAGGGCTCCATTCTATCCCCCATGCTGTTTAACATTGATATGAAATGGCTGGGAGAGATTATCTGGAGGTATGGGCTGAGGTATCATCAATACGCAGATGAATGCAGCTCTACTTATCTTTTCCATCTTATTCAGGTGAGGTGGTGAGCATTTTTAAGCAGTTTCTGGGCTCAGTAATGGACTAGATACAGACCAATAAGCTGAAGCTCAATTCAAAGAAGAGGGAGGTGCTATTGGTGGGCAGACTGTCTAACTGGGAAAAATTCAGTCTGTCCTGGATAGGGTCATGCTCCCCCTAAATGACCAGGTTCATAGCTTTGGGGTGCTCCTTGTCTCTGAGTTACTGCTTGAGTCCCAAGTGGACTCAGTGAGCAGGAGCATCTTCTATCATCTTAGACTGTTTTTTCAGTTATCTTCCTACTTGGATGAACAGAGCCTCACCACAGAGCCTGCATGCATTGGTAACCTCTTGTGTGGACTGCTGTAATGCACTCTGTATGGAGCTTTGAAAATGGTCTGGACACGTCAACTATTTCAAAACAGGCAGCAGAGCTGCTGAAGAGGACTGCCCCTCAAGAACAAATCCAGTCAGTCCTCCTCTATCAGGTACACTGGCTGCCTGTTGCAATTCAACAGGCACTATTCAAAGACTTGACATTAACATACAGAACCTTAACTAGCTTGGGACCAGGTTATCTAGGAGAATGACTGTTCCACATATACTTACCTGAGAACCACCCCGCAACAAAGTGAGTGGGGGAAATGGCTAGAAGGGCCTTCTCTGTGGTTTAATTCTACTTATGGAATATGCTGCCCAAGGAGGTCTGCCTGATGCTGTTGCTGCTCTTTCCAGTGCCAGGTATTTTAGTAGCTGAACAGGTTTTAAGCACTGCTTCAATTTTTATTTCTGCATGGTTTTTATGACCTTCTTTGCCTTGACAGACAGAACTTGCATTAACTTAACGGATTTTATTCTATGACTGTTGTTTTTAATATTGTTGCTGCTGTTTTTATTGTAAGCCACCCAGAGAGCCTTTTGGGCTACAGGGTGGGATATAAATGGAATGAATGAATGAATGAATGAAATAAGTGTTCTGTAGCAGAATTCATGGGCACTGTCAGACACCCAAGACACTGTTGAGATTATTTGCTTATTTATTGGTATAGTACTACTAAGAAATATGTTCAATACATAACCAGTGATTTTTTAAAACATAAACTAGAGCATGACCAGAAATTCCGTTGTGCACATTTTTGTAGAACTGTTGGGGGAGCAACAGATCTTTGAAGTGTGGGGTCAGGAAAAAAAACTATCAAGTTTTTGGGTGGAAAATTTTAATGAGAAAAGCAGCAGCAGCAGCACATATTTACCTTCTATTTTGTCTTTAAAACTTTATCACAGTGGCAGCATAGTTCTAAACCTTGCAATACCACCTTCTCTATCATGCCTCTCCTGAATAGAACTACACTGTGTTGTAGTGTAATGTTGAAGTGCTGTTATGGATGCTTTGTTTGAAAAACAGAAGTACAGCATGGCAGTCAAGAAAGGTCTCATTCCTCTTCCCCAATCAATAATACATCCAGATCAGCTGACAAGGGTCATGACAAAGTAGTGTCTAGGGAAAGTACTGTGGGTAAACCACGGCTGCTCGGCTGTTTGGAGGTCTATTGCCATTGTGGGGGAGAACACAAACAACATTCATCCAAATTAGGTGCAAAAAGGGGGAAAGCAGCTGTTGTTCTTCAGGTGAAACTTTTCTATCCCAAAAACATTGTAATTCCCCCACCACCCTGCCCACTCTGATTATTACAGAACATGTCCTCCCTTTTTTACTGGCTTGCAAATGAGTCTACAGAAGTGAAGAAGGAACATTTCCCACAGGGCTATCTAGGGTATTTTATTTATGACTTGAATATCCAAGTTATATAATCAAGCTAAGGGGAATCAAATGCTTAGACATCTAATGGAAAAGATGAAGCTATGAGGAAGCATTATACAGAGCCTCAGATCTGCCCAAAGGAAGGACAACTGACAAAGATTATTTCTTCTTAACCACAGATCATCCCCATTCACAGCTGAACAAAATCACTGTGCTTATGCTCAACAAATGTTAAGGACTATATAGAAATAGTAGTTGCTGCAATTAGGAGATGGGAGTTCTACTCATATTGTGCTTTCATTTACAACAGAACTAGCTCTTTTGTACTGATTCAGATCACAGCTGCATATACCCCAATAAATACCCATTTTTCCTTGCAGAGTCAGCTTGGAAGGAGGGATAGACAGAAACTTGAATATGTCAGTAAGAGGGGAGGGGGGAGAGAAATATGCTTGCTAGTGTGTTTTGAGAGGTCCCAGCCACAATTATCAGAATGGGCTGGAGAAAAATATAAAAGTTTTGGCAGGAAAGAGGTGATAAGCCTCTGAATTCATACCCTCTGATTAATGTGATCATTCCCCCAATAAATGGATGGTTAAAGTCATCCAGTAACAAGCATACCACATACACCCAGAGCTATCATCCTTTGTTTCATTCACACTTTAGCCCTACCATAGAAAGAGTTTCTATACCTTAGCCCTGAAAAATTGTATTTCATAGGAAAGTGAGAGGAGAAAAAATGATAAAAGGATGTAGAAAACTATAAGTTCCCCCAATTGGTGGTGGTGAGGGGGTTGAGCTAACAATAAGCTAGAGAGAACCATGACTTGAAATAAGGCAAAATGGTAGAAAAGAAGGATTAGGGCAAATGTGGAGAATTGGAAGCCAAACAGCCTTCCTGGGAAAACTGGGTGGGTGCTCTTTAAGAAATCAACCACAGTTATATAAGGCTCCATCTATTATACCTGTATTTATTATTTAAAGTGGGATTCAAACTTCTGTTGACTGTTTTTTTGTTTGTTTGTTTCTAAAGGGAAAGTGTCTTAAGTGAGTCCAGGAGTACAAGGCTTACCTTTTGATAAATCTAAGTGTGAGAAATTATACATTTCTTTTGTTTGCAAAATGATTTTTTCCTTTGGGGAATTTGCTTTCAGGTTCATAGCAGTTCCTTGTTTTTCCAGACCTATATGGTCACAGCAGGACATTTCAGTTCTAGAGCATTTGATATGCATTTGCTTTGGAATATATGTTTTTTGGCTTCACAAGGACCATGATTTGGGCCCTGTCTTTTTATATCTAATTCCTTTTGATCAGTTTAGGTAATTTAAAAAAAAATAAATCTGAAGTATGAATGTGTTTTTATCACTACAGGCAGAAACAGTCTTTCATAATAAACACTGCCTCATAACTGTTATAATTGTTTATAAACACTACAATAAACAGTGTTTTATAATAAATCCTTGGATGTATAGCCAGAAGTGTGGCGTCCAGATCTAGTGAGGTGTTCATACTGCTGTACAAAATTCTGGTGTGCCCACAACTGGAGGACTGCGTACTCTGGCCTCCACATTATAGCAGAGACATAGCTAGATTAGAATCAGCTTAGTGCAGGGTCACAAGAATGGTAGCCAGGTTGGGAGGGATGACATATGAGGAGAGATTGAGGGAATGGGGTCTTTTCAGGCTGGAGAAGAGTAGACTCCAAGGAGATCTTTTAGTGACTTATATGAGGGGATATCATGTGGAGGATGGCCAGGCCTGTTCTTCGCTGTAGTGGAAGGCAGGATGGGTTCCAATGGGGCAAAGCTCAAGGAACCAGGCTTCAGTTTGGATGTCAGGAAGTACTTCCTGATGGTTAGGACCCCTAGGACTTCCAAGGGAGGTGGTTAATGCCCCAACAGTGAGGGCATTTGAGGAAAGATTAGACAACCAATGTTGGGGAGTGGATTACATGAGTGGAGCTAGCTAGAGCCAGGGGTCAGGCTAGATGGCTGGGGAGACCCTATCTGACTCACTTTGTTTCTATGTTTTCTATGTTTATATAATCATCAATAGATGTGAGAACCTGGCCTGAAAAATATGTGCACACATGCATATACGACTCTGTACTCTAGTTCTTTTTTAATATACAGTAGTTCCCCAAAATTCGTGGGAATTACATTCCTAAAGCACCCGTGAATTGTGTGAAAAACTGTGAATTTGGTGCTGGCAATGGGCGCCCACCGCCAAAGCGGTGCGGGTGGGAGCCGCGAGTTGGGAGCACATGCATGGCAAGGCAGGGACAGGGGCGGGCGGGCGCAGAAATTGTTTTCTCCAAGCGAGTCCAAACTCGGAGGAAACACTCTCCTTGCAAGCATGTCGCCTTACGGCGAGGCGCCGGCTTATTCGCAAGGAGATTGGCTTGGACTTGCTCAGAGAAAAATTCCGCGAAAGACTGAAGCTGCGAATGTTGAACCGCGACTTCACGGGGGTATACTGTATACCTGAAGAGCACCATGAAGCAAAATGTGTTTTGTCATTTCTGGTATTTACCATTGCAGGTACCTTGCAGGTATTACACGATGCACATATACTATTTTCTATTGTATTTTGTGAGACCATGTGATTTTGAAATTATCTCTATCAGTTTGTTCATTCTAGTTGATCTCTGGCATCCCAGTATTAGGTCATCACTAACTTTTGATCTATTTGGTCAAATCACTTAAATCATTGTGTATGTTTATCAATTCAGCCACTAGGCCTTTGCTGTAGCAGCGGGATTAGCATAAGGCATAGCACATGCTCACCCATGTGTGGACTTGAGCATGGGGCTTAATCTTTTCATAGTCTTCTGGTACAGTTTGTTTCCTTTATCTTTGGGTCATCTTAACATTATTGCCAAGCTGGGGAACACATTGTGAAGTGGTTCTGCTACACTTAGAGAGAAAGCAATGGAAAGAATTCTTTCCTATTTAAAGCAAACCCATTGGCAGATTATCTGTGTAGTATCTCTGTCCCTTGATCAGCCCTCACCACTTAGAAACTGGTCCCCAGATGCTAAGGTAGATTTGTTACAATAAGAAGAAACTGCTGTAGCACTCAGCCTAATTAGAAGCATTAGTTAACTGCAAATGAGACAGTTGAAAATGAGAAAATAACAGAAAAGTAGAGAAAAATAAAACAATGGCAAAGTATGAAGAAACATAATCTAGGAATTATGTGAAAAAAGACAAAAGAAGGATATTCTGCATGCAGCAGCATAACTCTTATTGAAGGTCAGGATCCCACCTAGAGATTTTGGCCATGTCTTGTCATCCCAGGATTAACATTCACTTAGAATACCTGATCTGACTGAGATATGAGAAGAAGTCACACTTCATCTATGTGCTTCTACCTATTTAGTGCTTCTAAAAGGTAATATCCTTACTGTATAAACTAACTCTTAAACCAACAGTCAATAAACAAATGAATGGTAGAGCATCTGAAATAAACTTGCTGTGAGAAATGCGTGGACACATTCTTCTTTCTCATTTAAAAGTAACAACAGTTAATACCTCTGAAAACTGAAATAGTGCTGATGCATCACTTTCTTTTGAATCTGCAGGGGCATCTGGTTGTGATGGGCTGGCAGAAATCTGGAGGGAAAACATTTTTTTAATAAACATTTGAACATCACATGTCAACACAATCTGTTTTTTCTACTCCTCTAACATGTCAAATTCTTGTTCTTGTGGGTTCTCAGAGTGCAAATTTTCTAAAGGACTAGCAAATAACAAATTGCAAAAAATTCCAACATTATGAAAACCACTGCCACAATCAATAAAACAAAATTGAGAAAGAAGTATCATAAAAGGAAATAGCAGCATCTCTTGCACTGAGAGAAATAAATTAAGCTTCTTATCTGACATGTTAATTACATAGAAAGCACTAAAATAATCAGCATCATACTAAGTGAATAGTAGAAAAGAGAATTTCCAAACTAGAATAAGCAGTATTATTTTGAACTCTCATAGTTCAAAGCCCATCCAACCAATTTCAAAGGAGACTAACTTACAAGAAATGAGTTTAAGATTGGAATATCACCATTCTAGTTCATTTTTTTCAGTAATGTAATGTTCCAGTGTGCTAGGCAAAAAAAATCAGCATGCCTAATCATTAATGGCAATGTTAACTACCTGTTCAAAAATTTCACTTGGAAGACTATTATTTTCTCGCCTGTTTTGAATGCATCAATGAGCATGCTCTTGTAAAAGTTACACACTTTTATATTCCACTAATTTCAACAAATAGATTTAAGTTACATAATTCACACCCCATTTAAGCATGTCATTTATCTCCAGAGATTCTGAGATTCACAGTTAAACTATGGAATTCACTGCCACAAGAATTAGTGATAGCCATCCAGTCAGATGACTTTAAAAGAGCTCTGAAGAGAAGATTATCAATGGCTACTAGCCTCAATGGATATATGCTACTCTGGTATCAGAGGCAGTAAACCTATGTACACCAGCTGCTGGGGAAAAGTCATACACTTTGTGCAGCTGGTTTGATATTGTGTGCATAGAATACTAGACTAGAGAGCCAATTGGTTGGATCCAGCATGGCTTTTCTTATGTTCCTATCAGATAATCTATTCAAAACTATTGCTTTTAGCTTTCAATAATATTTGAGGATTAAAAAATATTTTGGGTACTTCATGGTATGCAGTCTGCCTTAGGTCTTATCTTAAATTCTTAGATCTTCTCAGCATTTACAAAATAATGGTACACAAATGCTTGGTGTCAGCATACTGTTTTGACTATTATTTATGCTTACCATGGATTTCCAAGCATTCTCATTGGCTCCAACTATAGTATTCTCTCCTTTGCATGTCTGTGAATGTTTGAGCTTATCCCAGAAGTGTCATAAGAGCATTTTGGGGTAGGCATCTTTGGGGTTTTTTTGCTAGTCTCTTCATACTTAAAATAACCCCACAGAAGTTACTGGCAGAACACCCTGAAGGCACAGCACATATAGGGCTTTTCACATGAAACTTTTAATCCACAAATTTTACTGAGGCTTCCAGATTCTTTGTGGGATTACCATTTTGTTCCTTTACATATGTCCCCCATACCGGGGTGGGGGGGGGCGAGGGAGAGGTGTCTCCACCTTTCTTTATGTGACATCACTCTTTCCATCTGTTCTTTCCCTCCTGGTTACCTTAAGTCAACTCACCAATGGTCCTCAGGGGCATAGTTATTTACAAACTTGTTGGTGACTAAAGTATATTTTAAATTGAACATGAGTATACATTTCTACCAGTTTCAATTTCTACTGCGCCATGAGCCTTGGGAACAAGGCTGGCTGAGACTAAGAATGAACTTGTGCACTACAGTCCTAAGCGTATTTGCTTAACAGTAATAATAATTGATTCAATGCCAAGTATGTTTACTTATTATTACTGCACTCCTCATTTATATTAAATCCAATCAGGTTTGAGTTTATCTTACTTAAACATGTAATGTAAATCCTTTTGTAGCTTGCAGTTAGTTCATCCAATCTATTATTTACCCGGGTGTGGACACAGTAACATAGGTACTCCAATAATATGAATCATGAATAAGACTCACTGAAAACAACAGTGGGGTTGACTTTCAATGGGACTTATTCATCACTAACTTTTGTTGAATTATGTGTGATGTGATGTGTAAACTGGGCAATCTTGGATGTAGCTTGCAAGCCACCTTATGATGGAAAGTAAAAGGTATGATTATGGGAACTGCTCTTGATTATATTTGTGAGTGTCTGGTGCAGATCCTTATCCTTATCCCTAGACAGGTATTTGAATTGTATGGACTGTTTGCATGCATAAAAGTGGAGTTTGGGAATTGACCATTTGTTGTGCCTTCATAGAACAGTAGTAATAGGGCATGATCCACTATTCTTACTCAGGGATTATACTAAAGGATGTTTCTACAGGTTAATTCCAATTGTTAACTGACCAAAACAAGTCCTGAGAGAATCTGATGCTGGACCAAGGTTTCTATGTTACTGTCTAATAAATTAAATGTTTCACTTGCTAATAAGTTTTTGCTTCAGGATAGTTTCTACCATGCATGAAAGAAACCTTTATTTAGTTCAAGATAGCTTTATGCACAGAAATCTCTATTTATATAAAAAATCAGCTAACTTAAAGCACTGGAATTTCTCTGAAAGCTTTTTATTAGTAAAAGCAGAGGGGAGTCATTATAATAAGTTCACCTCAGCAAATTGAAACAATGGTGACTTGAGACATCCTTCTGTGGAGTTGGATGCATCGGAATGGCATGTGCTTGAGGAAACCTAAAACAAAAGTTACCAGAAAAAAATATTAGGGACTTAACTCTGTTCTGGATTAAACAGCTGACACAAGAGACTATCCTGGAAAGTAACCACCTTGGTTTGTTGTGCCATAAAAACCTACCTGATATGTAGAATACTTCATACACAAAGGAACTTTTTAAAAAAGTAACACAAACCTCCACAGAAACACAAAGCACAAACCTCCACAGAAACACTGAAAACACTATGGAAGTAATAACTAGGGGTAGGATATACATCTAAGACCTCTGTCCATTCATTGATCCTTCCATAAAATGGGAAAATTAACTGAGATGAAAGCAGAGAAAAATGAAAAATCCTATTAAATTAATCTGAATTCCTCTGTACAAAGTATATAAAAGTATGGTTGGCTCCTTCTATATTCCAGCACTGGTTCTTCATTTTCCTTTCGTAGTAGAGACACAACAGCATTCCAAACACTAACAAGATTTGCTACATGAGACAAACTTCTTCCAGTAAAGATTCCTAAAACTTTAGTAAAATTAATGACCGCCAATACCTAGTTACTTCATTAACAATTGTTTAGAAGATGCGTATCATTAGTGTAACCTGATAAATCTTCAAGAAAAAATGTTCTCATTACAACTGAATAGTACTTAATTCTGACTAATGAATTATTAAATGCAAACAAAGGATGGAAATCTGGGCCTTCTTTCTCCTGTTAATAGTAAAACTTAGCCTGTGTCCTTCATGTCTGGCTAAATCATTCTTTAATAGAAAGTGTACAGACGTTTTTTGTACTGTATGTTTCAGCCCAATCAATTGGTAATCACAAGACTACACAGATTATTTTGGGAAAGGTTGCTGAAATTGCTATTCATGTAGACTTTTTCTAAGAAATTTGTCAGGTGCATTGGAAAAAATCAGCCTGCAAATGAGTGTTTAGATGGTGCACAAGCATATCCCTAGTCATGACATTATATGTATTGAGGCTTGCAGAAAGATTTAGAGTTAGGGTTTGACTTGGGAAATTGTTCCCTTCAACAGCAAGTTGCATATATACATTTTTTTCTGATTAAATGTGTTCCAGTCCACTGTCATGAGGTAGTCCCTTCCCCCATTTCCCTTAGGCTCCAAAATGTAAGGCAATCCTTTACAATGTGGATCCTTATTAAGACTTCAAATCTAACAAGGCAGTGCAGCTCTAAATAGTTTTTTATCAAGCTGAAAAGATAAGCTACTTGCTCATGTAAAAAACTGAAGCCAAACTTCTTTCCAGCTCCCCCCTTTCAGTAACTCTGCAATTCCATCCTTAGAGTGGTTCTTGTTGGTGGGGAGCTAGTCAGCAAGCCTTCCAACAGGGTAGCTCCTCTCTCCCAAAACCTCATTACAGGAGCAAGGACTGTGTCCTGCACATGCTCCCACTCCTGTCTTGAAACCTCTCGCATCTCTTTCAAAACATACCTACTCTCACTGTCAGCCTGGGAAACTGCAGGTAGTGACCTTGAAGAAGCTTCAAAGGTTTCTGTCCCCCCACCCCCATTGCCTTCTTTTCTGGTTCAGAATTTGATGGCATATCTTGCTGAAAAGATTGCAAAGAGCAGTGCCTGGTCAACTCACTACATCCACAAAAGGTAAGTTTAAGAATAAATGTGATTGCTTCTAAAGGCACCATAAGGCTCTTTGTTGTTTTTATATACATATACTGTGTGCATGTGTGTATACATGTGTAACTGCCAACAGAAAAACAACTTCCATTCTTTATAGCACTTCAAAGCCTGTACTACAAACAGCTTGCTTTAAAGCTGTGTATATCTATTTCATAACCTAGAGATCTAGGATATAGCCATACACTGATCTGTACAAAGCTGAGAAAAGCCAATTTAAACCTGTGGTGCAGAACCTCAAGCTGGGGACCAAATCTGGCCCACTGGGGATCCCAATCTAGCCTTCCGCATTTCTGCAGAAGTCACCCATCTCCTCCCCTGGCCTCATCCTTTTCTCTCCAGCCACCAATTCTTCCCTGAGGTCAAAATGCCTTTTCTAAGGGTTAGTTACTTGCAGTAAGAGCTTTAAGCTAAAATATGTTGGTTTCTTTGGCCTTACCCACTTTGTGTCTGGCTCTTCCTGCCACTGGTATGAAGTCCCCAGAGGGTATCTCCAAAACAGAACTCAGCCCTTGGGCTGAAAAACGTTCAATAACCCTGCTCTAAATCTAGCTGCTGCAGTGTAAGTGCTTAAGAACATGAGCTATAAGCCAGAACCACCCCCCCCTGCCCCCAGATTGATTTTGTGCTCGGCACAGCCAGGAATTCAATCAGTGACTATAGGCAATTTCTCAATTCCTCACTTCACTACACAGATAGGGACAATTATAAGGGTAATTGTTACTATCTTGTGACATCTTAAATACAAATATTTTCAGAATGCACAAGCACCTGTAACTAGAATCCATCTTATCAGACACATGAAGTGTTATCTTAATATGACAGGTATGTGTATGCATGTATACATACATCTATACAGACACAGTTGTTGAACTGGGAGCACAGTTAAGCGGTGAAGTTAGAGGGAAATGAAATTCAACTATGACAAATCTGTTATATTTTAAATGCATGCACAATCAGTTTCCAGAGGTAAGAAATTTTAATTTCAGCAAAAACAGTGAAGAATGTAGCAGTACTTTAACAAATGATATGTTTACTATGATATAACTGAGTGATCTGATTGATTGTATAAAATGAAGTGAAAGCTTACACCACAGTAAACATGTAGTCTTTATGGTACCATAAGCCATTTTTGTATTACAGTTATCAAGAATAATGCTACAGGTTCAATCCCCTGTAGTCTGAATCAAAGGAACAAGTAGTTGTCCTGCTAAAGGTATTCACTGAGCTTTAAGCAATTCAACTTCTTGTTCAATTGTCATTCAGTAGTTTCATGTTTGAGTTCCTTCTGAAGTTTATTTATGAGAAAGGAACTTTGCAGGGAGACTCCAATAATGTTTACTTTATTCTTACTTTTACTTCACAAGACTAGCATATGTGTCTGCTTAGGAAGAAATTGCATTAAGATAACTGGGGCTTACTCCCCTCACCCCCCCCCCCCAAAGGGTTTAGGATCGCAGCGTATTTGTTTTTGCTGCAACAGATTAACAGGGTTCTCTCTCTGGACACAAGTGGTGTATTATAAATGCTGTAATGTACTTCAAACTATTTGTTCTAAATGTATTTTACCTTTATGTAACCACTTGCCTTCAGTTGCCAATATTGATTGGAAAAGTGGAAACTAATAGCATGTAAAAATACATTTAAGTGCTTTTGGGCCTTAAGAAAAATGCTAAATACTTTGTAGCATCATTCTTTCTAATGCAGTTCAAGTTTTCCCATGCCCATGTGAATAAAGGTAAAAGCACAAGAGGGAGATCGAAATAGATCAATTTTTTTGATGAAACTAAGTAATCCTGTGGATGAACCCCAAAGTTTCCCTTTCTTCAATAATCATTCAATGACATGGAATGGTGATAGACTGAAAGGGGAAAATGTTGGCAACTAGGTAGAATGGAGTAGCTGGACAAGGCTGAGAGAGAATAGATGAGAAAGGTCTTTCTTGTTTCACACTGAGAAGCTATTTTAAAACATCCCCAGGAATGGAAGAGAGAACTTGGTCACACACTACAACAGAGAAATCAACTGGCTCCTGTCTCTATACTGCCCTCTAAAACCAAACAAAAACCAAAGACAAATACAAACATATAAACAATATCAATTGGGGCAGAGTAAGTTCAGTTGCTCCAGAATGCTGATTGAGTACTGTGGGGAGCTAGAATGGAGTAGCCAGAACCCTGAAACAAAGCATTCCACATTGCAGTATTCTGTCCCAGTTGTTATAATTATATTTAAGTACAAGTTTGCATCAAGCATTTGACAAAATCAGTGAATTTTGCATGAAGGGCTATGACTGTATTCAAAGAACTGTTAAGGTTCTGTAAGCAGCTTCCTCTTAATTGAAGTTTAACTCTTGAGATAAGAAAAGTTTGGTTCTGCTCTCCACTGTACCAAGTGCTTCATGTCGCACGCTGACAAAGTGTCAGGCTCTATATCAGCTAGCTGACATCACTTCCCCCAGATAAAAGACGTATCAAATAGTTGCGAAGATAGATTTATGCTACTATATTTCATACAGGTCGAACATTCTTAAATGAAAGGATTATGCAGAAAAGGTAATTGCTTACTTCTTGTGCAGTCAAGGCATGTTCTCCTGCTAACAGCAGCATACTGAGGCCCCCCATTTGTGTTGGATCTGTCAAATAAAAAAAATAGGCAGACCTTTCAGTCAAAGTATTTCTCTTGAAGGGATCTCAGACAGGTCTACTACTTTAAACACGCTGGCCCTCATTACTGAAAAGAACTGTGAAGTCCATATTGTCCAGCAAAGAATGCATCTTAAAGCATGTTGTGAAGAATGGATTCTATTTTTCCCCTAAAGAACTGTTTGTGGTTATTGTTGTGTGTGTGTGTGTGTGTGTGTGTGTGTGTGTGTGTGTATTTTCAACCCCTGTTTGATCTTTATCGCTGCTGTGAAGAAAAAAAATAAATCCATAGGTAAATAGTACATATCTTAAACATAAAAAGAATGCCACAGGAACAAAAAACTTAATACTGGAATGTCAATAAACTAGTAATAAAACCAGCCTACTGGCAACTTTAAATGTTACAACAATGTGCAGAAAAGTTGTGTGAGCAATCTGAGTCCCATTTCAGGTGTCCTCCTCCTACCTGCAGGAGGAGAAGAGTAAAGTCATGCTTGTTGGGGGTTGTGGTGAAGAAGGGATCCTTCTCTACAAGCACAGGTTTCCAACATGATTCAGAATCCTGCCTGATCAAGCGTGCTGCTAATCAGTTCAGGTTTTAAGAGCAGAATGTCCCCTCTTTGTTTTTTCTTCACCAATGTGGGGATAGGCTTGCTGAGGACATGACGGCTGGACTAAGGCCCAATCACTTATTCTTTTTGTTTTTGTCCCCTTCTTGCTAATCTCCAGCACCTTAATCACTTGAAACAGAGATATGTCCATCCTTTGGAATCTGTCCCTCTAGCTCTTACCACTCTTGTCAGGGCTGTTAAAACAGGAGATATCTGGTAATGTTTGACACCCACATGTAACATGTGTTATTTGTAAAAAGAAGTTCTACTGACAATGTGGAGAGTCAACATTTACAAAAACACAACTTTGCAAGTCAAATGGCTTCAGCATTTCCATAATCCTACAATATCCTATTACAAACAGGCACTTCTATTAAACTTTAGAAAAATCATAAGCCCAAGAACTTTGTGAGCTTTCTGCCAGCTGGCTCCCAGTAATACTAATCAAAAGACAATGTGCACTTGTTCCATCTTTTCCCCTCTGGAATGGTAGGGGAGACATTAAGGTGGTCTGTCCCCGGGGGCTGATGGATTCAGATGGATTCCGGAAAGCTCTAGGATTTTCCAACTGGTGTGGCACGCGCTGCTGTCAAAGCTCAAGTAACCCTGTGGAATATAGAGCTGACCTGGAAGTTTGACATGATTGTCCTCAAGCCCCCCCGACACACATCCGCAGAGCCCATCTGGCTCCTTGGTATATGCTGGAGCTGAGGTCAGTGAAGCAAGAGGAAATATGACTAAAGCTCAGGTGGAGGAGAACTCAAAATGAATCTGACCGAACACAGCTTAGTGCTTATTACTGAGCCTATTTCAGGGTGGTGAAAGTGGCAAGGAAGTAATTTATTGCCACGAGCACTGTGCCCTTACAGTGTCATCCAGTGGAGCTTTTCATCCTGGCCCAAAAGGAGATCTGCTCAAACCCTTAGAGGCCAATGTGACAAATCTACAGGACACTTTGAGGATGAAGTTGCTTGGATCTTTAGTGACTTGGGCACCACATTTATCCCAGTTCCATTGGCAGAGATATACAGAGCACTGGTCCCATTCTCCTGGATGAGTTCTAGCTAGTGCAGCCTTAGGATGTGGACAGAGTGCATGGTTCTCCCCAAGCTATGACCTGTTTACTTGATCCTTGTCCATTCTGGGTGATTGGTAAATTGAAAGGGAGAACTTGTCCAGGAGGTTGCCAATGCCTCCTTAAGAAAGGCAGTGGTGTCACTCGTGCTTTAAAAACTGCTGTGATTGCACCATTCCTGAAAAAAACCTAGCCTGGATCCAACCAATATAAATAATTATAAATCTAGAGCCAAACTGCCTATTCGGCAAGGTGATTGAGTGGGTTGTGGAAGCTCCAAGCTCTCCTAGAGAAAACAGATTATTTGGATCCATTTCAATCAGGCTTCAGGTCTGGGTTTGGAATGGAAACTGCCTTGGTTGCTCTGTGGAATGACCTCCGCATGGAGAGAAATGGGGGAGCATGATCCTGTTGATCCTTCTGGATCTCTCAGAGGCATTCAATACCATTGACTATGGTATCCTTCTAGAGAGCACCACTCTGTTGGGGTTCCACTCTTTCCTGGTCAACAGTCTTCAGATGGTGGCACTGGGGGACTATCACTCTGCACCTTGGCCTTTGTTGGAAGAGGTCATCTGGAGGTTTGGGCTGAAATGTAATCACATGACACCCAGCTCTACCTCTAGTTTTCATCTAATCCAAGTAAGGCAGTGACTTGAGTCAGTTTTATTATGGGTATCCATAATAAATAAAATATTTATGTTTAAATAATTTTAGTTACCAGATGTTTTTATTCACAGAAATGTTTTAAATTGTATTATATAAATGTTGAATTTTATGATGTTTATTGTTCCATTTTATTGATTATGTATTGTTTATATCAATTTGTTTTAATTGTTGCTGCTCAATGCAATGTAAGCTGCCCAGAGAGCCTCATGGATACGGGGTGCGACATACAAATGTAATAAATAAATAAGAAGTGATGAGAAAATATGAGACGGTCGCAAGTGGAAGATGCTATTGTCTGAGCAACCCCTTAAATTGCATGACTACAACAGAGTGATTGCACAGTAAAAGCTCTTTCTGGAAGCACAATTATTACCAGCCAGAAACTGGGTGATTGATGCGAAGAGCAATCTCAAACTTGCCTGCCATTGCAAAATTCAGTTGAGGCATTTCTTCTGTCTTCAGCAACTTTTTTGGACTTGGCAAATCTTTTGCAGATTCTGATGGGAAAGCCCACAGCTTTTTCCGGTTAGTTACTGTAGAGGACTGGGTTTTCACAGGTTTGCTTGTAGGCGGGCACCACTTGTAGCCAGGGTTTGCTTTCATGAATGCATCCTTGTACTATGAAGAGAAACAGTAATTTGTATTAAGGCACGGCAAGACTGCTTTTCATGAAACAATGCAAATGTTTGTATAAGTACTCAATTTCGGATGTAAATTTGCAACTACATGCATTGAATATTGCCTGTTTAAGGTCTATCATACTTACTCAACTTCAACACTGAGCTGGTAATGTCTTTGATATGATTTACCCTGAAGTTTTATTGAAACATTCTGATTTGGGTATTAGTGATCTATACAGGCTTCTTCTTCTGCAAGCATGCATTTGCAAATTTCAGGTCATGAAGCAGTTATCACCCTTGAACTGCCCTATGGATTATGGACCCTCTTACTTTACTCTTGTAAGCCAGCCAACTACATAGGTTGTAGATAAATGCTCTGGCTATAAACACTAATAAGCAAATTTATTTGCCACAGGCTTAAATACCATAGTACCATTCTTGTCAACGGTTGTGTGTGTGTGTGTGTGTTAACCAGAGACAGGACGTCACATTCTTCCAAAAGAGAAATAAAAAGATGCATCTACCTGGCAAATATGAGAAATTGATTTTTTGCTCTACCAATCCACAAAAGAAGCAGATCCCAATTATTTCCTTTTACTTTCTATATAAAATGTATATAGGTTACTGATGAAAATGGGAAGGCTAAACAAACTAATATATGTTCAACATAAGCTGCTTGAGGTTATCACAGGAAAAACTAGTGTTTTATTACATTCTCACTGGCTATGTTTGTAGATAGTGTCTTACCAGTGCTAAATTAATCAGAAACTTATCAAGAAGCAAAAGCTTACCACCAAGCTGAGATTCCTAGTTCATCATTCCTCTAAAACCCACAACGTTAAGCCAGGGTTTCTTGTTGGTTTATGATTTTTTGGGAAGGGCATTCCAGGAGACCTGATTTAAACATGATGCTACACTTTTGCCTTCTGATTAATTCCTGCTTGGGTTAGTCATTGCAGGTGGTGGGAAGAACTAAGCAGAAACAATCAGGGAGTGTACACCAACATATTCATGTGAATTACGTACAAGAATCTACAACAATTCTGATTTATGTTTGTATGTGTATTTCTCTGTACCATACTGTTAACACACAGACTACCTACTGAGATTGTAGAACTGCTACATAAAAACACATTGATTGAAAGATTCAATAGCCCAAACTTTTTAAAGAACATATGCTATACCATCAGGTGTAAGTGAATGCTAATTTCATATTAAATGAAACTATGGACTCTAATGGACCAGAGGATGGTGGAGGACAGGAAGGCCTGGAGGAATGTTGTCCATGGGGTCGCGATGGGTCGGACACAACTTCACGACTAACAACAACAACAATGGACTCTAATAACCACAATACCGGGAAATGTGGGTAATGCTTATGATTCAGAGATATTTTAACTGAGGGAGTCATCTGACAAGGATGCTAGCTACCTTGCTCTCTCTCTCTCTGTGTATAAATGTCTCCTATATTTGCTTATTTACTTATTACAATTATCAATTGTCCTACCATTCTTCTAGAGTCTGAGGGGCACACATGATCCCCCTCCCCCTCCCTTTTACTAACAATAACACTATCAGGAAGGTTAGGCTAACCCAAGGTCATCCTTTGAGTCAGCTGAGATTAGAATCCAGATCTCCCATGTCTCAAACATTCTAACCACTACACCACACTGGCTCTTGTGTTTATTGGTAATCCTCATTTTCCCTATGTGTTATACATCAGTAGAATTTCTACTGTTTTGTCAAGGGATCAGAAGGATAGCCTCTTCAACGTACTTTGACAATTGCCAAACATATTTTTAGGAATAGAGCAATTTATGTCCATTTACCTTTTCATCTCTTCTAACAGGTAGAGAATGAATCTGAAATTTTCATCATTCTTTAATGGTATTTAAAAGTACAAGTGTCTATCACCTCTGAATGGATAATGGATACTTGGGAAGGCCTAAAAAGCTTGGATTTACTCTGAGATGCTTTGTTATGCTGAATCTGAACCAGAGCTCGCAGGCCACACTGCATTATCACTGTATTCCATGGTCTATTCTCTTTGGAAATGCATCATAACAAAGCTGAATGGAAGTGGAAGACTTCCCATTGAAAATAAAAGCTTTATTTCCCATGTGTATTTTCTTCAACACTTTACCAAAGATGAGTGTTAAGGGTATCCCATAGCATGTTTTTATTACTAATTACTGTTGAATTTTACTCATGTATACTTAAACTGCAGAAAGAATTAAAATTATACACTTAATTGCATGCCTCATACACATTTATGGAATGAATGTTACTGCATTAAGCACACTTGGCTATATTGTTTTTTTAATAGACAGTACAAGAATTGTTTTTAGAACCAAGCATCAGGGAAATCCTATAAATATAGGACATGGTTTTTTTTTTTTTTAATATACTATTGTTAGCAGTTTCTGATCTGCCATTTTCCACAAGAGTGTTATTATTCTTCCACTGTGAACAAAGATTTAGTACATCAGATGAGAAAGTTAAAAACCTCATAAGAGAGTTCCTTGTCCAGCAATAATTCACATTTCCAGATATCAAGATACCTCCTGTATTCCATTATTTTGGTTATCATTTCAGAAAATAGCTTATGATTTCATCAGATCAGAATTAGTTTGATTTGGTAATTAAACACTTTTGAATTGCTACAAATGTTATTCATTATTCATCTGCTCAGAATAAATCTCTTTGGAATAAGAGGAGTGGATATTTTGCTTGCGGTGTTCCAATTATAGAATACACTCCCTAGGGAGGTAATTTGGATTCAACTTCAGGCCAAAAAAACTTTTATTAACCTCAGGCGTTTAAAGTTTTGTATTTTGGTTCTTATCAGCTGCTTTAATAATGATTTCTTGTTTTATATTAATTTTAAATAAATATATAGAGTTGGTTGTTAGTGTCTAGTACTGTCTTCATTCTAGGGGGACTTACCACAAACACAATGGAAACCTTGAGGTTCTCAAAGCCAGAAAAAACACTTGCTTCCAGTACAGCACAGTTAGCAGAATTTGGAAAAGTTCTGCTGACCAATCCTATGCTCAAAACTAGCATTTCCTTCTCTTTCTGGAATCCCGTTTGAAAATGCTAATTCTTGGTATGCCAGTAGCAGGACCCTTGTGCACAATGGAACCAGTAGGAATTGAGTGGCAGTACTGGACCCTGTCCAGTATTTTTATGTTGTGCTTCAAGAGAGAGTTTGGTGACAATTATTTTATCAGTGTATGGACATCTAATAATCTAATAAAATGTAGCATTATTAATTCTTCATCTTTCAAACTATTAGGAATGATGCCTCAGTAAAACATTTTTGAAAAGAGCTACTAATGGGACATCCTAGGTGGGAAGAGAGTGGTGAGTTAACTGGTGGATGGTTCGCCATTCAAAGACCTGCTGGCCTGCTCCAGCTTGTGTGAGAGACATAGGGCATTTTTTGACACTTAAAATTCCAGGCAGATCTTTGCTTTTCTATTTTTCCTCTCACTGAATCCAATATGAAATGAATTTATTTGTCAGTTTGCATCTGGTGGTTCCATGTCTGACTCCTCCCTGTAATGCAACTATTGCTGGTAGAAAGAACACTATTATGCTTGCAGAGTCCTTCTACTCCATCCTAATATCTTCAGTTTGCCTTCACTGGGGGTTAAGCTCAGGAATGAGCAACTTTTGGTCCTCCATCAGCTGTAACTAGCATAACCAGTGGGAAGGGATCATGGTAGCTGAAGCCTTTGAGATGTTTTGCCTTACAAACTGTCCAGCTTGCTTCAGCCTCTTAATATTGATATTATGCTGATATATTTTATGATTATGCAGAATGCTGCTCTGAGTACTTTTATTGGAAGAAAAATATATACATAAGAATTCATATAATAATCATTAATAATACCAATAACAGCATTAATAAAATTCAGATGCACTTTCTTCTTCAGCAAAAGTGGCATGATGCAAGAAGCATGTGAGTTTATCTTCAAAACTTGGTGTCTCAGAGGTTATAATTTAGCACAACAGTTGGCTGAACCTTAACCCATTTTTATAGTTTCAGAATGCAAACCTATACTTACTTTTCTGGGAATAAGTACCACTGAACTCACTGAGATTTAATTCAGAGTTGGATTGTGTTGCTCATCATGTAAGTATCGTCTGAACTCCTATCAGTACAACCATTCTCAGGTTGATCTTTTAAAAATCTCCTGGTTAAAAGGTTGTTGGCTCTGCCTTCTTTTACTTGTTTAAAGCTTTCTCAAATTATTATTTTTGGAAGCAACATATAAAGTTTTTAGTTTTGCTCTTTATCTGCTTGACTAAATGTTGATAACTCTCATTTTCCTTATAATAGTCTGCTTTCTCTTTGTTTCATAAAGTATAATTTGCATCTAAAATCAGAATTTAAAACATTTCATTCTGTCACTAAGGGAATACCAAGTACAGTTAAGGCTACAGTAGTATGCCCACCTATCTGGCAGCAACCTAAACTCAACAGGATTTCCTTTGGAGAAACTTTGGCGATGCCTTTCTCAGCATGATGGAGTTTTTCTGCTAAAATAGGTGAGGCTAAATGAATTTCCTTATGAGAAGGAGGTGTGTATGTTATGAAAGGAAGACTGTTATCTTGTTCGTGTTGTTGCTCTCATTTACCTAAGTGTCTAAGCAGCTTATTGAAAAACGGTTGCTTTAGTTCTTGGCTAAGTTTGGTGGTCTTTTTATCAAGCCACTGATCAATTATACTTAAAATAACTTAAAATACTTAGAATAACTTCTAGCTCATTAAGTTGTTGCAAGGCTACATATCTCTCTATCTATCCAGTAGGAGAAACCTTGGTAGAATTCAGAGAATTTTATCAGCCAAACAGTCTTCAAAAGAACCCTTAATTAAATAAATCTACCCTCAGATATTTTGAAAGGGAAAAATTAAGCAGTAAAACTACTATTTCTCTTGCTTTTGAGGAGCTGGTTATAGCATATCTGCTACCAAGATATTTGGATTTTTTAACAGGCTGATATACATGCCTACAGTCCTCTTTTAATTGTGTCTACTGGAACAGGAGATTCTCAAGATATTCTTTAACCAAAAATGTTAGCAATCTTTGAACAGGTTAGGTTGGTCCAAACATTGACAAGAATGAGGATATTATGCATATTGATAATTGAGACAATAAAAAATACATAATGGATGTTACTGCAATCAAAGCAAGTTTTCCAGTTTCCATAAAAGAAAATTTTGAACAATATATAATTATGCATAAGAAATGCACATTTACCGTATGATTGTATACTTGTCTGCTTGGATGAAAGTAAGTCTCGCTGATTTCAATGGGGCTTACTCTCAAATAAATTGTTATATGATTGTAGTCCTAAACAGCTTATTTGGGCTTCAAACACCTTTCCTTTTCAACTCTTCTTTTATTACAAAAAAACTGGTTAATATGGACCAGGAAGAAATCTCCCTAGAATGCCATGAAAAGCCATAAGCAAGCAAGCTAGCTAGCTAATAGGAAACAATCCAAAGCCTCAATCTCCTACCATATAAATAAGCTGCATGCTATCCAAGACAGCAGAGCATACAAGCAAAATAGGGAAGAGGAGATAGCAGAGACACATAATACATGGGAGAGATGACACTTGACACAGGGACATTCTGATTCACAGATCAGTCTCTTCACCACTATGCTATACTTTCAAATGTAATCATCTTCTCCAACAGAATTGTACAATCTTCTAAAATGGAGAGTATTTGTTTTGAATGCCACTTTTAAAATACCACCATAGAAAATGTTTGTGGTGAACTTCCTATTGTGGTAAATGTATGGTGTATTGCTAGACATGGTAAATGTACAATAAATACGTAACTGAATGTCTTATGAATACCTCCTTGGCCATGTCGGTGTATTTCTGCTTTTCTTTAGGGTCTAGAAGAGACCACCAATCCGCCAGTATCTTTGTAGCACCACGATTGTCCAGACGAGGGTGTTTTTGCCGCACAAGAGAGCGGTGGCGTTTGCAGAACAGAAGGAATGCATTCATAGGCCTGCGAGCTCGCTGTTCTGAAGATTCTTCATCTTCTGTTTCATCAGCATCATGCTCAAGACCATCAGCACTGAGAAGATGGACCTATTTTACAAAGGAAAAAAATACCCAAACATGTAAAGAATGTCACTGACAAATACTTTTTGTCATACGCCATCAATTATTCACCCCAAAATCTACATTTAAATTTTACATAAAATCTGAAAATAAATTTTCAATGACTTTTATTGAAAGTATCTTACTTAGATGTTCAAACAAATCAATAACCCTTCACAAATTAAAAAATGGATTTCATTTGGAACATGAAGTGCCAAGATGGAAGGTTCAATTAAGTGTCTATCTTGGCACTCAGTGCATTTCAGTGCAAGAAATCTATTCCTTATGTGTATATGTGCATGTACCCACATGCATATGTGACACAATGAGTACAAGTGGAGGGCACCTGTCATCAGTGGCTCTTCTGCCCACTTTGAACAACAGTTCAACCCACTGCTGGCATTCAGCCAGTACTTTCCTGGGCTGGGGCCCATTTGTCTCCCAAGCAAAGAATAGTTCCCCATTGTTGAATTGAAGGAATCCACCTATGTCCAGACACTGGAACTTCTTCAAAAGGGAGGTTCATCCTGTGGCCTTATTAATGGCCTTCCACTTGGTGACCAAAACCTTCTTGATTAGAAGGCCTTTGGACATATAACAGTTGTACAATTGTGTTCTAACTTGCAGCACAGAACTGTTCTTTATTGCTAGAGGGTATCTACTTGTTCTAATGGCATGTTTAGTTCTAATGGCTGATAGCCACCATTAGCAAAGTATAAATGAGTTAAAGAATTTAAGTAATAAAAGTGTATAATGTGTGCTAATTTCTACAACAAATAATTAGCTAATGGAATTTTCTGCCACAGGATGTGGTGATAACTACAGGTCTGGATGCGTTTAAAGGGAGATTAGACGAGTTCATCAAAACCTGTATGTTCAGAGGAAATATGCCTCTGAGTACCAGCTTCTGGATGGCTAAATGTGGTAAAGATGTTGCTTTCATGATCTGCTTGTAGATTAATCACTGCTACACGGTTGGCCACATGGACTACATCAGGAGTAGAGAGCTTCCACCACTCCATCATCCTCCACCACTGACTATGCTGCTAGGGAGCTAAGCTAAGTAAAGTAAAACATTTGGAGTGTCACAAGTTGCCTACCCAGGACTACATGGATTCAGGATATATCCATGCTGGCTCTTCTTGCATTATTAAATATACACATGCATTTGCTTCTAACAGACTTCTTAAAATGTCAGTCTATGAATTCTAAAATACCAGTCAGTAAGCATGTAATAAACCCCATATTCATACTGAGTAATATTTAAAACAGGCTTTTGTAAGCAATGAACTTGATTTCCAAATATGTTTTAGATAGTATATACAGAATACTGATTGCAAAGGAAGGTCATAATAAAATTATTTTTTAATGGAATAGCTCTACCTTATCAATATCTTCTTCGTCCTCTTCCTCCTCCTCCTCTTCAGAGAAGTCGAGTATTTTCTTTGAAAGTAGTGGATGCCACTGAAGACACTTTCTCTTTGGTCGTTTTCCAGTCCCCTCTCCGTCTGTTGAATGATCTTTATTCCTACTGCTGCCTTTCATTACTGTGACCTGCCGAGGAAAATACATTAAAACTCTGTTCTTACTAAAATCACATGTACTTGAATACTGATTTTCATCTTATTTATAAACGTGTTCATTTTCAATTTGAATCCTCAGCCAGTTTTCCATACAAAGGATGTTGACAGATGAAGTTGTACATTAGTAGCTATGTCCAGAATAGGTATAATATATTACTAATTTACTGTTAGTAATGTTTAAGTTTATGACTGATGTTTGGGTTTTTTCCCCTTTGGAATTCTGTTGCATTAGATGGAAAAAAATATGACTGGGGTAGGTTTATATTACAGGAACAGTCTTAGAGTAAAGTTCACTGGAGAACGGTCTAATTCCCTACAAAAGTGAAGCCAACTTTTACTAAATATCATTTTGCATTTTTGTCCGAGCCCTAATCAAGAATCCCTTCTTTTTAGTCTAACAAATAATATGCATGGTCTTGCTTCTGAAAATGAAAGAAGTTTTTGACACATAATGGCATTTGGTGGTATGATCTAGTTTTATCACCTGGAACTCACAGGAAAGATCCAACTCCAATTTGGAAGTTTCAAGTGAGAATAGTTAATGTCAACATTTTGATTCTCAACAACTGGAGAGTCACCTTCAGTGAAGGTCTAATATTTTAGACAGTAACTAAGCTATCACTAGCATTACCATAGTAATAATAAGTGAAGTTCTCTGGGCAGTTCACAATTCCAACGGAACCTGAGTTTCCCAACAAACTTGTGTCAACAAAAAGTATTGGCTTATACTACCTGAGTACAATTTATTTCAGCACCAGCACACCAATACTCTCCTCCCAATGTTTACTTTCAAATTGCTAAATATTTTCATATTGGGCATTTACAAAAATGCAGAAAAATTTTGTACAAGTGACTAGTAAGAACAGAAGTTTGTTAACTTTGTTATCGTTACTTTCTTCACTAGAATATAATACAAGGCACTTTGCTTCTCCAATGAACTTGTTAATATCAATGGAGGAACCCCAGCCTATGATGTCTTGGAATTTAAAACTTTGGGATTTAAAACAGGTATGCCTTTGGAAGTATTCCTGTAAAAGATCTTAATAAAGATACTAAAGAACATGGAAAGTTGGTATTCTTACACATAAACAGTAGATTACCTATTTTTTTCTCCTAGATAAAAACACAAAAGACTTCTTACTTCTGTTGCCTCGGAGCTGCCTTTACTCAAGTCATCACCTTTATTTTTGTACTGTTTAACAGTGTATATAATTTTAATTGAAGCCTTTTGGCATATTAATATATTCCTATATAACTGTTAATTACAAGTAACTCATATGTCTGTCTTTTGAAAATGTGTAATTAAACAATAAGCCTTTTTTCAACTTATTAAAAATAAAAAGTTCATGTGAATATTAGAAGGATGGGAAGTCTACTAGTAATGTAAATCCTGAGAAATGCAGCATTATATGTTTTTCCATACTTGGCAGCTCAGTTTTTTCATATTTAAGTACATACAGTAAAAAAACAATACATCAGAAAGCATTTGCTAGTGTAAGGGACTTCCCCTCCATCCCCACAGTTCCTTGCTGCCCCTACAGCAGGTCTGGCAAGATTTCAGGAGAAAACAGAAATACAATTCCACTGATTGAAGCCATTTCATTGGAAGAAAGCTTTCCTTAGATAGTTAAAGCTCTTTTATTAGGTTGCATACTGGTATGCATGGTAGGCCAAACCACCATCTTGAGGACCACAGGCTGTATTTTTTGTCCTCCATATTTCTGCCCTACAAGCAGGTCTCTAGGGATCCAGTGCAAGGTGAGGTATAAAAAGAGTTCACCCAGCTATCCTACTGAACCTTACTGTGGCATGGTGGTGGAACCTAACTGAACTGGGTTCCAGAAGCTGAGGAGGCCTACATGTTGGGAGCAGATCACTTCCTTCTTTTCCTTTCTTTCAGTAGACTCAAACAAAAACTTCAAAGTGCAGTTATTTTATTATAACTTATGTGGTTACAAAACAGTATAAATCAGAGCAGTGCTCTCTTTGAGATGAGGGAGAAGCATATGCCCATGTAAAGCACTGAATCCAAACTGAAACTTCCCCTCCTTCTCTCCCTTTGAGCAAAGCTTTTGACTTCACCCTCATGGTGGCCCCTACTGCTTACAGGCTACATGGTGGGAACACTGGATGCTTCTTAATTGAACCAGCTCATTTCGTCTGTTGTCGCCCAAACTATTGCTGCCCCTGTTGTGAAATGTCTTCTTCCTTGTCTAAGGTGAGTGGTTCTCACACTCTGCCTGAGAATCTTCACTGGGTAACCATGAAACTTCCACATCCTCTGGCTCCCGGCTCATTTTCAGAATTGGACAAATCTATCCAAGTAGAGAGTAATGTGTGACAGATTGCACCCCTATCTATGCTACACACATAGCCCACTACATGCTTTAAGCTTCTCTTCTTATGATACCTGTGTTCAGTGCATAGATGTTAATGGTAAGGCAGAACACAGCCACACTTACTCTCTTTGGTAGTACAGTACAAAAAGGGAGTTACTCACTAATAAAGCCTCTCACAACGAAGGCAAATGAAATAAGAGTTGATCATCTGATTGTTGATAGTGTGTGGGCTGATACACAGGCAGACTCAGGCTATGAAGCATTTACAGGTCTAAATCAGCACCTCAAACTCAGACTTACACAATTATTGCAATCATTAAAAGAGAACTGATATAGGGGTACTGAGTAGATTTTGAATATGGGGATAAATTAAATGAATGATGAATGATTTGGAGGGTATGAGGTCTGGAGTCCATTCTTGTTCATTCAGTGTTTTTGGGCAAGTCAGTTTTTAGTCTCATCTTCTCAAAAATGGATGTTATGTTGCTGCAAGGGAAAACAATGGGTGTGGGGCATAGCAGGTGGGGTTGACTCTTGGAGGCTCACACCTAACTTCTACCTTATTCTCAGTTAGAGGACTTGGACCTGTCACTTGCCTCTCAATGCTGGAGACACACACACACTCCTGGGGAATTCATAAGCAAAGCATGAGGTGAACACCACTCCACTGGGATTGTTCCAAGCATCTGGTATGTATACTACTGCTGATCATGGATGCTGGAGTCAAGCAACTAGGAGCTTTGTGTGAATAAAGTTGATAAAAGGTGATATAGAAATGATTTATGGGGGCGGGGGATTCTAGCACTTTGTAGACGCTTCCTACAGCACTGAGGCAATCTGCGCAGTGGCAGGTTGTCTCATACTATGGCATGTACACTACAAACTAAAATTTACTCTTACATTTACAAGGAAGGTTGTTAGGCTTGCAGAATATTTCTGTTCTGGAATAGTGCTTCATACTGCACAGTGTTAGTACAAACACAAGTAGAGCATAAGTTTGGATGAACCTCATTATCTGGATTCATTTCAGTTGGGGTTTAGGCCTGCTTCTGGCACAGAAAACAGTTTTGGCCAGCCTGCAGGATGACCTATACCAGGAGAAAAACAGAGGTAGTGTTGTCCTATTGTACTCCCACACATTTAGTGGCTTTCGATTCCATCAGCCGTAGTATCCTTTTAGGAGACTGGCTGAATTAGGAATGAGGGGACCTGCATTGCAATGGTCTTATTCTCACTTGGAGGGCTAGGTCCACAAGATGGTCCTTGGGAGATACTGCTATGCCCTGAGAACTGTCCAGTCTGGGGTTCTTCAGGGGTTAGTCTTGTCCCCCATACTATTTAACAGCTACATGAAACCTTTCCAGAGCTTTGAAGTTCACTGTCATCAGCATGCTGATAAAACACAGCTGTATTTTTCCTTTTCATTTTCAGCTGTGGATGTGCCAAACTCATACCTGGCTGTGACAATGGACTTGCTGAGGACTAAAAAACTGAAGCTCATTCCAGATAAGACTGAGATGCTGTTAGTGGATGATTCTTGACTGGATGGAAGGAATTAATCTAGGATGGACTGATATTCCACTTGAAGGAGCAGGTTCATAGTTTGGGGGTTCTTCATGAGTCTTCTTTATCATATGAACCCCAGGGGACAGAGTGCCTTCTAGCTTTGGCTGGTGGCCCAGCTATACTCTTATCTGGACAGAGATAGCTTAGTTTCACTAATCTATGCTCTGGTCATCTCTAAACTAGATTACTGAACTGTATTTACATGGTGTTGCCCTTGAACAGTGTTCAGAAACTACAGTTTGTGCAAAATGAGACTGCTAGATTAATAACAGGGGCAGATAGACTGAGCATGAAACAACAATTCTGGCCTCCTTACACTGGCTGTCCGTATGCTCACAAGGCCAATTCAAAGATCTGTTTTTAACCTGTAAAGCACTACAAGGCTTGGGACCGCAATACCTGGAAGAACACCTCTCCCAACTGCAATCTACTCCAACACTAAAATAAAATGTTCCCCACTAAGGCTTATTTCATGCCAACTTTAATAACTTTTTTTAGTCCTAGGTTAAGATTGTCCTCTAACACAGGGAATTTAATTAGTTCACTATTATATTGTGGCTTATGTTAGCTGCTTAAACAGATCTTATGATTCAATTTGTATAAGCTACTGGAGTTTTTTTACATTTGTTTTAAATTTGGGTTTTTAACTTCCATGCAGTATTTTTATTATGTTTTTATTGTTCCCTGTATTTTGTACTGTAGTTTTATATGTTGCGGTAAACCACTCAGAGAGCTCTGGATACCGAGTAGCATAAAAATAATAAATAAATGAATTTTAGTTATCTTTTCATACAAGTGGCTGACTCAAGGCAATAATGCAGACGACTAGTGGTGGTAAAATGAGCAGTGAAATGATGATAAGTTTTTTTTTTTTAAATGTTCCTAGTTCATAAATAACCATGAAATGGGGGGGGGGGGGGAGGTGAGAGAAAAATTCTGGAAGAGAATTGAAGTTCTGAGTGCAAGTGCTATACTATGACTGCTGTACTATTCACCAGTTGCCCATATACCACTCCAATGCACTTCAGTTCAGTTATTATACAGTTTTTATAAATACCCAATTCAT